TTTATGTTATATTATATTTATATAGTTATATATAGTTATGTTATATTATATTATTTTATGTACAACACATTTATTGGCTTCACCAGTACGAACTTCATGATCGGATAAAGATATATGAAATATTTCAGTTCAAAAAATTACAATAGACAATTACATTCTATTTTCTATTTATTACATTGTTCTATGTGACTCAAGAACTGTTAACATTTTCAAATTCGTTTGAGGAACTTTTTAAAATATTATACCTACATTTTTGTAATGTAATCAGGAAATCACTTAGCAACTAAATACAAAGGCAATTATATTATAAGTTATATAAATAAGTGGTGACGTGATCCACAAAGGAAATTCATACCTAGGTAATTTTTGTTTCAAAATTTTCAATTACTGTGATAATTTTTATAATAGGCATGTGTTTTATTTATCAAAAACCGATAACAGGGGTAATCTGCACAATGAACTTTTATATGTAATATACTGACATTACTGCATATAAAATTCTCTGATAAAGTTCATTAAAAGCTTTAATTAATCTCTAATCTAATAATATTATTATGTAAGAGTATGCCGAAAATATTATGTTAACAATTACTATATAATCCGTGATTTTATTTAAATATGAATTCACATACCTACGCACCAAAAAGAAGTTTCACATTCATACACATCAAGATGGTATTACGTAAAGTTATACATATAACTTAATATATACACAGTACTAAATAATATTATCGCTGTAGGTTCATCATATTTTTCGCAACCGAGAAAATCGACCATGGTTTGTTCAAGTTAGTTTTGTTTCTTTCAGCATGAGTTCCAAGACACACAAAAATGTTTTTTTTTGTATTTGGTAGGCCGACGTTTGACCAATATATCGTCTGATGGTAAGCGGTCTACAATGGAGCACGTCGACCCATAAGATCAACAAAGCTATAAGTTGTTAGATGTGAAGTTCCACAGCGCAGTGCACGTTCCAGTCTCCAGCAGAGAGTGAATAATGCACTGAATAAAATAAATCTTTCCATGCATAACAATCCACAGTACCTATATTTGGCACATTTTGTGTATTATCTGCCACATTATTTTACAGCTCTAAAATGAAATGTAAAAAACATGCCGTCTATAGCGCTATGCACAAAAAGGTAATAAATCATTTTACTGATATTATAAGTAAATTATTATATTGTTCTTTAATTCCAAGGACTTTTTCGTTTATAGCGTAGGTAATCAAAAAATTGTAATTTTTTATAATCATTTCAAACTCACGTGACCAATTTAATAAATTTTTCATCGATCACTGACCTATTCATCATTACAAAATGAACGTGAACATCTCAATAAATATAAAACAGAGTGTTAATTACACAATTAATTTATAACTCAATCAAGAACAGACGAGCTGATTTTCAGGATATTTCATAGTTAAAGCTATCTCTGATTGTAATAGGAAAATAAATAGTGATGAAAAATCTAAGTATTTCACTTTGATCACCAATAAAATGGAAATCCCAATAATACTTTAAATAATTAAAAAAACCGAACCCAAGACCTCAGCCACAGAAAGCCTAACGGGTTGCCTGGGCTCCAGCTCAAAGAACAAGAATAGGAACGGGGTGATTTTTAGTCAGTAAGAGTCTGACACTCCCTCTCGCTTCACCCGGACGGGAGAAGACTGGATGATTTTTACCCTAAAAAAAGACCTTAGTAGTAGGTGGGCTGTTAAGACAAGTTCATTATTAATTTTACCTTATTCTTGTGTCGTATAATATCTTTAGTGACGGTGAAGGACGCATCGGGGTCGAAGAATATGAGGTCAGCATCAAGACCTGCCTTCAAGGATCCTTTGCGATTCTGAAGGCCACATAGTTGGGCCGGTGCTGAACTCATGTATTTACTAATGGCAGTCAGGTCCAGTCCTCGAGTACTTGCCGACGTCCAGAATAAAGACAAACCTGGACAAATAAATAATATTACACACTATGTAACTACCTAATGGAGGCTATAGTATTTTTGGTCATCAGACGGCGCAAATGTACATACGAAGAGATTTTTAGTCCAATCAAAGCAGTTGTCGAATATTGAACGTTCAACGGTGTGCACACACACAACACAAGCTAATTGCCTATTGGATGAAGGACGAGAGGTTCACACTAGCGCCATCTGGTGGGCACAAATTCGTTAGACCCCATTAAAAAAACAAGCTGTAATTGTGCGCAACATTGATTGTGAATTACAATTTCATTATAATCATCAATATACATTTTTTTTTGTAAAATTACTTTTCAGTTTTTTTAGACTCTTACTAAATAAAACAAGTAACCTACCGAATTGAACAGACGAAATCCCACCCCATGCCTCCAAATTGTTTGAACATTTCAGGTCTGGAGTGCACGGCGAATGATCTGACACCACCAAATCCAACTTATCTTCCAGTAAATACTCCCACAGTTTTTCCTGACAATAATTAGTAAAATAAATAAAATCAGAATCTTAGTAGAAAATATATTAGAGAAGAAATTAATATCGACTCTGCACTGCAAAGTTTGACAAAATATCTAACCTTTTTGTTTCATTGCATCTAAAATTAACACTGGCTGATTACATTGGAGTTCAAATAAAAAAAGAAATCGTAACTAAGTTTTCTTTTTTTATTTAGAGGCTTTATCACCGTTATTAATAAAATAATGTTGGGTGCTGTTATATTTTCATTATTAATCCAAAACGAAAATAAAATTGAACAATATTAAGATAATTAAGAATTAATAAGGATTGTCTAAATTCCTACCTTATTGTTCTTGTCTCTAATAGGTGGAGCGCATTTGTATTCGCTTCGTCCCTTGGGGATCTGATCAGCGCTGAAGGTGAGGTAATGATGGCAGGTCTCAGCAGTGACTCCGGCGCGCCAGGCCTCGTTTCCCCTTGCTACACGAACTTTTCGCGCCTCCGTGAGTAGAGGTACCACTTCGGACGAAGACACATGGACTACGTGGACTCTGACGCTGAATGGTAAAACACAAATCCACATTAATTCCTTACGAGCGAATAAGGTTATTTTGTTAAACGCATTCTCTTTCATTGTCTGTTAGTTTTATAAAAACTAAAGTAGGTAACTGTACTAATTGAGCCTAAACTCTATGGCTAAGTTAAATAACAGACTGCATTTTATGATTTCATAATTGTTATTTTGGTTGAAGAACTCCTGAATAGTCTGGTGGCAAGGAAATATAATATTATGTTTTACAACGGATAGAATAGATTTTTATTTTTGGAATCATTTACATTATCATCATCATCAACACATCACATTGCAACATCAACCTATTAGTGTCCACTGCTGAGCAATTTACTTCTCAGGCGGAGAAGGAATGAGCATCACTCACCACGCTTGCTCTCGAAATCATTATACAGGTTTATTAACCGCAGTTATACGGGTAAAGACACTAGCAAAAACTTGTTCTATAATTAGCAAAACTATTTTTGTTTCGTATGTAAAGTATATAAATGTGGTAGATTTCGTTATTGGTTCACAAATATTCAGTAACAATAACTTACTCAGTCTTACTAACAAAGTCTTTGATGAGCGCGACCGCATTTAGTTCCATATTAGGTGGTCTGGATTCAAGATATGTCTGATATTCTTCTGGGTCTGGAACAAATGAATTTTAAACGGTAAATTATTTGTCACAAGTTGACATTCGGGTTTCATAATTTGTTTCGGTAAGTTGATCGTTTAACTTGAATAAACTTTTTTATTTGATACACGGTTTAAGGTGAAGGTCGACCGTAAATAGCATTTAATGACAATAACAGCATCTTTTTTTACTTGTGTATCTACTCTCCGTAAATATTATCGTACCTTTCTTTTTAATTTTCTTCCTGCTGGGTGGGTTGTCGTCTTCAAGCTCCGCGTGAAACTGAAATAGAATAGTGGCCCATTAAGTGGCATCTTCTTAAGCTCATAGTTTTATCTTTTGTAAAAAGTTCATCGTTTCATGTTGAAATTAAATTATTCTAGATAATGTAAAAGAAACTGATTACTGTAAAGCACACGTACTGCAAGTACTGATCCAGTTCCCTCCAAAGCTTCAAAAGCCTTTTCCAAATCTTCAGGTCCAACATTCGGGAACTCATCGACACCGCTCGGACACAGAAAGCATTTAAAACCAACAACTCCTGCTTTTACTAGATCTCGAAGAGAATCCTGAAATTAAAAATATATTTAATGAGCAACACAAACAAAGCTTTCGAGTTCTAAGGTAAAAAACCGCTTTATAGCATTTTTTTTAAAAAGGTGATACATAGATTGTATCTATTACAAGATTATACACAAATAAATTACCCATGGGAAGTGATTTGTGGACTGTTTAAAAAGTGAATAACCTACCAATTTAAACATATCGACCTGTTTAAGAATAATATTATTACCTACTCCAGAGTTTTAATATATTATCGTTTGTATTTAATAAAATTCTGTTTATTCTTTTGATGTTTATAATACCTAATAATTCCTTAATATTATGGGGTGACAAATATTGCAATGTTTGAAAACTTGTTTTTGGTCCATTATCATTATGGCAAAAAATATAATGATATCCAATAAAACACGAATAATACTGATGATATTCAACAAAGTGTCAAACACCTTCGTAACCGTTTACCTTTTCACATTGTCCTTATAAAATTTGCTTATTTTATTAGGACATTAATATAAAGGTACAATGCTAAAATGGATTTTACGGGCATGTTTTCTTCAAACTAGAGTAGCGTAGTTATTTCGTAGGGCGTAGCCTTGTAGACGTGGCGTAGCTGTTGCGTAGAGGTTACGTAGCCATTGCGTAGCAGTTAGTAGCATCATCATCTACGCCGTAAACTTTTTCTAGTAAGTAACTGATTAAATAGTCAATATTTTGGAACGAAACTTATTGCATTGGAACTGTATACTATTATAGCCTTACTCATTTACTCATTACTACATTATATTTTTTATTGATAATAGGCATAGTTATTTGCTAAGTTTACTAAGAGTTTTATTTTTATTTTCCAACGCAAAGGTACATGCATTGTATTGTACCTCATGTATGCAATGTAATATGTGTGTTGTACACATCCATTTGACTCAAAAATTTGCATCAAAGAGTAGCGTAGACTTTTTGTAGATTTGTAGACGTGGCGTAGCTGTTGCGTAGGGGTCACGTAGCCGTTGCGTAGCAATCCGTAGCCGGTGACACGGCGTAGTCTATATAGTGCTACGTCACTAAGGTAACCGCTTTCTTGTTAAATGAAGTGATTTCTACTGTTTTCTCTTTAATGTGGTTTTATAATTATATATACTAAACTAATTAGTTTAGTATAACGAAACTTAACCCCTTACTGCATATGCAGGGATTTTGTATCGGAACTGTATACTCAGTGTTACTCTACTACAATTAGGTACATCATAGTTATTTAAAAAGGCGAAATCTCTTACATCGTTTCCAACAATAACTCCGCCCCAAAAGCCAACGTCCACAAAGACATTTCCATCGGCAGAAGAAGCTTTAATCTTCAGATTTTCTACCGTCGTAGTTGGAGGAATGGAGTTCCTGGAAATAATAGAATGTTGCATTTAATTTATTACCTAGTATTTCTAAGCTTTTTTTTTCATTTTTATTTTATATGTTATCAGTGTACTGTTTTTATAAAAGTATTTAGTTTTAGTTTTTAGTCACACCAAAAATATTTCTATCTTTAAAAATGAAGTCGTTGATTGCAAATCAAAATGATGAGATAGAAATCTTGTCATATTGATATACCAATACCAATAGAATTTTAGTGGAGCATTGATAGGAATGATAAAGTAACATACATCAGTTGATACATTTATCGATGTTTTGGGTACAAACGTTGCAAAACATATTTCGAATCTACGAGATACTGACACTGTCATGTTTTTAAATACTTACTCATCATGCCTTTTATTCCCAAAGGGGTAGGCAGAGGTGCACATTACGGCACTTAATGCCACTGTACAATGTAACACCCACTTTTCACCATTTATGTTATGAGTCCCATGTAATAGGCGGTAAGCGTATTGCCATATACCGGGCACAATTTCAGACTCCGTGCTACCCAGTAATACTTTGTCCGACCCGGGAATCGAAACAGAAGAAGAAGTCGCACTTGCGACCACACGGCCAACGAGGCAGTCATGTTTTTAAATACTTCACTATCACTATAAAATTTAATTATTTATCTTCAACCACATGCATGTCTTAAGTAATGAACCTAAAAATCATGTGGATTATATAACAAAATTGATTGAAATAAATAAAGAAAAATTAAAACGTAAGCAAATAACTTAGAACCTATATGAAAAATGAAAGTATATTGAACAAGTGATGCTAGCATTCAACTGAAGTTATCAATTTATAAGCGAGCATGTGCCGTATTGGTATAAAAAGTAGGTTAATGTTTTATCGTTAATCTGTAGGCATAATGCTTAAAGTTAGCCGTAAAAGTATTAAAGTGAAAGTCTAATTACTTAGTCTATTTAAGTACCTATTTATGTATTAGAGTCACTATAGGTACCTATATTCCTATAACAGGATGCTCACTATCCATATTTTATGACGATATTGACTTTGGTATGAGTACAGTTGAAGTATGAAGGTCCTCTATTAGTGTCAATTAGTGCCTACCTACTTCAAACAATGCCCGGCATTGATGGTGTCACCGATCGGGTACTGATAGTTCATTTCTGCATTAGGTCATTCAAGACTCAGTTGTAATAATGCTATGAGCATATTTTTTACCGACTTCATAAAAGGAGGAGGTATTATGTTCGAATGTTAGTTTTTTTTTGTTACATCACCAGACAAATACTTACAAATTAGTCGTAGTAAATCAGTTCTGGAGTGTTTCGAACTTTTCTAATATAATATGTTTGTAATTGAGTCATTGTCATGTATAATAAATATAAAATAATTACAGGGGCATGTCGACAATGGTGGTGATGCCTCCTACGGCGGCGGCACTGGTGGCTGTACGGAATCCCTCCCATGCTGTGCGACCTGGTTCATTGACATGTACATGAGAATCTACCACACCGGCCAGCAGCGCCAAGTTCCCGCCATCGACCACCTGTAACACAGAATACATGTATTTACTTTAGAAGTATGTTAATGCACACTTTAAGTACAATAACCGTTCTTATTACAACGACATAAAGGCGATATCAAACCATAGTCAGAGTTTATAAAAGCGGGTTTATATTTTTATTATCTGCGACCGCCGACCGGTCCGTTATCCGTGACCTAACCTGTAACAATGTGTCGAGTTGACGAGATGATCGTTGTGTTTTTATAAACCATGAATTTAAACAATTTAGGGTAAACAGTAAATGCTAAGAAAGTTATAAGAAAATGCTTAAACTTACTTTCACTCAAAGAAAATATATACTAAGAGCAATTAATACAAGTGTTATAAGTGATCCCATTTGAATTATGGCTTATGTTATGCCTCAGGCAAATGTGTAGTTAAATTCAGGATCTATATATTATTACGGTAGTACCTTGATCTTTCCATCGTTTTCTGCTATAATTTTGTCTGCCTCTTCTCTAGTAACAATTTGTTCAATGGTTCCGTTTACATCAACGAGCACACCGCCATCAGCCACTCCGCTCTCAGTGACGAGACGTTTGCTTAAAAACAAGTGACGTTCAGACAACGCCATCGCAACACCGAATACACCGTCGCACAGCAACTATGTTAAGCGAACCACGCTAGCGTCCTACACCACCAGTGTATAATTTACAACTAACTATTGATCACATGACAACGCGCTATTAGCGGATTCTGTTATCGTGAAAACTTGGTGACTATTGTAAACAAACAAATGGATAATGATAAAGATGACGAAAGATGTTCGATAATATTACAAGTGTCACACTTTAGTTCTTATGATGTAGGTACTGCTACACAGATTTTTATCATTTATTTTGAATTCATATCAATTACCCACTGTGAAGGAACTGGTTGCAAAGCTTTTACTATTGTACACTAAGGACATAACTTATAAAATAATAATTTTGCTATTGTTGAATTACTTAAATCAAGGAACGCAATGATTGAACTATTGTGACAGACTACCTATTATATTGCAACTTTGCTAGCGGCCAGAATAAAATAGTTTATATAAAACCTTAAACGCCTGTCTAAACCATAAGGTTTTTAGTTTATTTAAAGAATTAGTATATTAAACCTAGCTTATTTGTCTAGTAAGCCCAATATTATAAAGATTACCCATTTAATCTTCAATTGAAGTATTCAAAAACACCTAATCATCAATTTTCCCATTACATACATATTTAATGACACACAACGTAGTCTTTTTACTACGAACACAATAATATAATATAATAATATACTATTTTTTGTTACATTTAATTTCTTTTTAAATTGTGAACCCATACTGCGCGTGGGCACAGAGCATCTGACATCGTATGTTGACGAATCATAGGTATAATAAATGCCAACGCCCCACCTTGAACTTCGCCTTGAATACGAGCACGCGGGGTGCTCCAGGCCATCGCCCGCTACTTCCAACCCCCCCTCGCGGCAGCATCTACAATGCTGGGCACAAGTACTCAGTAAACAGTAAACACATACCGGTTCCGGTTTGTCCTTCTTCCAAAGGGCAGGATGATCCAGATTCCGAACGAACCATTAATAACATAATAATAAGAAGTCTTGGTCTAGCATCGACTCATTACGAGCACACACAGGTTCGTACAAACAAATTAAATCGAAACATGAGCAAAACTTCCTAAAAAGCTAGGTCACTCGTTCGGGTCAACTTTGAACAGTTAAAAACAAGGGCATTGCCAATTTCAGGGTCCACTTAGTTCGTGTGTGTACAGTTAGGTGGTGAACTGATGCGACAGAGTCGTGCCGGTAAACAATGCGAGTGACATTGGCGGCAAGAAAGGAAGAGACGCAGCGCGCATAGTAATGATGGATGGGCCCGGTGTGCCAACCAAGAAACTACGTATGTGCGTTAACACTGGCCGCCCGTGACCGCGTACTGCGCTATACGTTCCATAGCTTACAGTGGCACTTCTAGTGACTCAAGCACAATCCGTATAATTTCATTAATTAGTGTAAAATCGTAAATCATATTACTTAAATCTAGTACAAGTACCTACATTGTTTAATTAATTACTCAGATAATTAAGACAAAATAAATAATTGTACTTACCCTAGTAACCAGCTACTAGTTAATGATCCTTCAAAAAGTTCAACAACGTATTTGTACATTTTTGATCGTAGTGAATAATGTGACTTCAGTGAATTATTGTGTGTTTTGACAAACTTTAAGTAATCAGTTGAATAATCGAATTACCGTAAAATTGCTCACGTAATATAACGAAAGGTAATTTTATTATAGTTTTTTAATTTACATTTTATATACACCTGAAACTTTAAAGCATGATACGAAAACACCGCAAGAAATTAGGTATCCATGTAGAACGTACGTAGCCAAGAAGACGAATTAATGAATGAGGATATTTTTTGTATTCATATTACTTGGGTACCTGATCCCCAAATAAGAAAAGGTAGGTACACTATAACAAGGAAGGATAATTTAAGTTTTTGTCTCAAAATACATTTATAATAATGATAAGATCAAAGACATAACAAACAAGATGCCTGTAACAGGTTCATAAATTATAGTTATAGTTCACGATAGCCAAACTATTATTAAATACTAAAATAATTACTTTAAAACTGCTGATGTAGATCATTCAATCTCGTTTCTCATATAATATCAAAGATAACTTGTTATTAAGGTATTATGAGCTTACAGGAAAATAAAAGAGACTCCGAATTATGATAAATAGGCAAATACAAGTTATTTACTGCATACTAGGTATACATATTAAGTTCAGTGTGTGCAAGGTACACAAGTGTAAATATTTCCAATGTTTAGATTGTACAATTTGTACATTCTATTTAATTAAGATGTGTACCTTAATTTACAACAAAATGAGAAGGAAGTCCCCCTATAATGTGTCTGAACGAAATGAACACCAAAGATAGATTATGCCGATTTAAACTATGAAGCAAAAATTTTATTATAGAAAGTTAAGTATGGCCGGAGTTTCGACAAATCTGAATTTCAAGCAAGAATTTTGAAATTATGTCATCTTTGGATCTTTACGTATTTACAACAACCCCCTCTGTCCCCTCTAATCGTTTTACGTAATAAAGGAACAGCACGATATCATCGTCATCATCAAAATCAAATATATTAAAATGCCCACTGCTGAACATAGACCCTCCCAGTAGGTTCTAGATAGTACGGTTGGAAGCGATCTGCATCCATCCATATCATACCATACTCGGGGATTATAATAGATTTATAAACCTAGATAGCAGTAGCGATTGGAAATTACTACATAGGTGTTAAGTAAGTAACTATTTGTAAAACAAAGAAATAATCTAATTTAAAATGTTTGAAAGTCCTTCTCCAAAGTCACCTTAAAATGTGGCTGGAATTCGAGGACAAACGGAATGGAGACCATACCATCATTACGTGGACCCCCGCGAAGCGTTCTACCCTGGATGTAGCTATCGTAGTAACTATGTAAACGGTTGTTAAATGTCGTTTTGACATAACACTTTGATTAGGTCTGAAAAAAATTACAAGTGAGTGTTACATAGTTTACAAGTACCTATACATGTAGCTAGAAATGATAAAGTAATGATTATTATGGTGTGCTTAATTTTATAAAATGAATCGAACAAACATCGATCAATCAAAAATCGATTTTTTAAAACACGATTTTTCAAGAATCAATTTCTTCGGAACGAATCTCCATCCCTAATGAAAACATTTACGTAATTTTAATATTTGATTCACATAATTTCATATACACATGACACCTACTTTACAATTTGTGGATCTCACACAGTATTGTTCCTCGGGAAACGAACCCGCCGGCACACGTTGCGCGGCAGTCGCTTGCCCAGTCACCACGCCAACCGTGCAGTCAGGTCTAATTTAGTAAGTTAAACAAATGAAATGATATTTCACCAGATTATTTTTAACACGTAAAATCTTAAGAGGCGAGATAGCCTGGCTTTGGTCATTCTTACTTACCACACTTTAAAATGCCTTTTAGTGTTCGTTTATGACTTTTAAAAAAAGTACATATTTAATTAGGTTCACTTTTAACATACCTATTTATTTACCTACCTATATGTGCATGCCTGTACGAAGTATTTGCACATAAATTTCGTATATCAAACCTGCAATACAATTACGATGAATCTAACTGGAAGTGCCTGAAAAGATGTAATAGCAAGCACCTTATTAGTAAACATACCCGTTATATGTATTCAAGGTGTGTTATTTAATTTAATAAATTCATATTCGTAGTTATTATTATACCTTAATCATTTGTCACGAAAGTCAATAACCAACTTTATGGAAATCCTTACCTATTGATTTTTTTCATTTCTCATTCATTCTTTTTTATGTCGATATATCTAGGTATAATGCTCATTAATTTTATTAGTTTCGAATTCGGATAACGGTTTCTTTTTTATACGACATTTTTTTAAGTGAAATGTCAAATTTTTCCATTTGATATAATAATACTGAGGGAAATTATTATTAGTATGTTAGTAGCATTATTAAAATATTATTAAATGACGTTTTAAACTATAATATGTAAAAATAATATTAAGTAACGGAAAAATGGTATAAATTAAGTTAGGAGTAAATACATAGACATTGTTCCAGTATTTACGTCTCCCTTTTATGTATGTATACAGCCCACCCCTCCAGATCTGTGTACCCCGTTTTACGGTACCCATAGTTATAATATAGTGTGACAACAGTTTTAATACATAATAATTTAAATAAGTTTCTTTTGATAAACCTAATGAAATAGAAAATACAGAGGGGCCTTAAATGAAATTTCCTAATTAAGATTAAAATCGTAAACTTTCAAGTTTTTTAGAAATTAATCTTCATTAAGTACAATAAGTCATATATTATATGTATCATGTATCGATTCGATAGATAAATGTCTAATTTTGTCTCATCATAGGGTAACCACAAGTTTCGGGCAGTAATTTTAATGCCTCATAGCTGGCAGCTCAGCAATAGAAGCAGGTTTAAAAGCTAAAGATACGTCATTAGATTGCACAAACATAATTCCCCTTTTCTATATTATTAAAAGGGGTTGCTATCTTTATGTTCCAGCACTTAAATCGTAAATCGAGCACGTACGAGTGCTGTTGCTTACTAATTCGAAAAAATGTTATTTTTTTAAATACAGGCCGAACTGTACGTACTAGGACCCACAAAATGTTGTTTCCGATTGATGTTATTTCCTTTTCTAGCAGTAAGTAAAACGTGTCCCTAAACATCTTCAATTCTTGTGCACAAACGTGGGTGCGACGCGAAGCTCGGCTCGATGACACCGGGGTATTTAACACTAGGTGACGCGCGCGCCGCCCGCTCAGTCGCACCGGACCCGCGACGCACGCGCAGCTTCACAATACACATAGGGGTGGTGTTTTATTTATACCCTATTGTATTTACACAAGATAATATTTAATTGGTACGTGTGCAAATAATTAATTGCAAATTATCCTTTGGCATGCAAGAAACTAGTATGCGCAGTGAAATACAAATTTTAAACAAAATAATTATATAAAATATATCGGTTTTTACCGGTTTTCAAAAAAGCAATTCTATAATTAGTATTGTTTTTATTTACAGATATAAGTTCCAAGCATCGCTGAAAGTTCCCCATCATGGGGCATAACTTCACTATATGGGTAAGTATTATTTGTTTTTATTGCTTCCTACATGTACCAACCCTTAGTACTGGTTCTAGTAATCTGAATTGATTTTCACTAATTTTAATACTTCGGTTGTCTGTCTAAAATATAAAAAACTTCCATAACAACATAATAAATGCTATAAATAAGATTAGTTGGTCGGTGCGATTGATCACTTTGATTAACTTTGCATTTAAGTTAATAGAATAAGCAATTATAATATATCATTCAGAGTTATGAGCCAATGGGCTCAATTATTAAAACAATAATTATAAAAAATATATTATTTTAAAATCCGAGATTTAAATGAGATGACTAGATCAGAATGTAGCTGAAATCTGAGTCTACCAAGTACCAAGTAAATAGCCCAAGAGTAAAACTCAACCGTTCATGTCCCAAAATTTGCCTCGGCGAAATAAGTAAGCGTCTCTTACACTCATTTCATATGCAAGACATGAATGCCCACATATAAAGTCATATGAGAAAGTTAACTGCAGGCACCTGCATCATATAAGGCAGTAGGGCACACGTGGTCGGGAGCAAGGTCACAAAACCGGGATCAGGATAAACCTTAGTACCCTACCTAGGTAGAGAACCGGTTGTTCCTCGTACCTTCACATGAAAAATGTTTTAAATATTAATTTATTTTTAGACGAGTACCAATTGTTTTTGGAATTTTCAAAATAAGTACTATTTTTGCACATACTTGAGGTAATTACCAATTTCTAAGTGAAGATTAGTCTCAATAAAACTAGCTCTCGACGAAAAACCACATCTTTCATTAGTAAATTACACAAAAACTTAGTAGGTCTGTAAATGCAAAGCTAATTTGTATTGATGTTTAGACAATTTATTATTAGTTTGAAAGTCTCTAAAGGAGATAGCGGTATATTGGTGTTGAATACGCTTGAAATATCAAAACAACATTAGTTAGGTACCTACGACTAAACTACGAGAATAAGCTTAGCAAATAACAGACGCGTGTTATTGACAAAGCTGGGGTAACTGTGCTGTGGTTTAAAGCGTTCTTAATGCAATGACTAATTTGTAATTTCTTGTTAATATTGGAGAAGCGACACCTTCGAAAAGGTTTGATATCCTCAACGTGAGTCAGACATTAATTAGGCTTTGTTTTTATGGATAGGACTTACTAATAAGCCGTCTATTGGAAAAGTCATTGAGTATTCAAATGAAAATAAAATTGTGATAAAGAATAACTTGCAAAAACAGTGCAACTTATTGTATATAATTTATCACAACCTATTTATAAAAGATCACAGCAATGTTAGATTAAATATCTTTGAAAGAACACACATTTGTAATAACTGCAGTATATTTTACCTACCTTTACGGTAAATAGAACAAAACAGGGTGTATTAAGTTTTATGTTGTGTTATTGTTATTTTATTTCATCTTTATATTTTGGAGATCTTTGAGGCGGAATAAAAATCGCGGAATATTTTAATTTAATTATTTTTCAACTCACTATTACAAATAGGGAACTATGAACAAAGACGATTTCTTTGCATGCCATCGATAGTTACTTACAGAAAAAATACTTTATAAATTACCATATAGTCGTCTATTTTAAATAGGTGTAGTATGCAATGCACGTACGGGGACAAATGCTCGTGCGTCGCTCCTTCGGCCTTCATATCAATACAATGTCATTTCGTATCAATCTAGATTTCTAGAATCTAGTCTATATTTTTATCATAATAGGGATTAAAGTTGTGTATCACTAGGTAGGTCTTATTAAGCTCCACAATAACCCAACAAGGCATAAATATCTTGTTTTCAATTAAGTATTTTGACAAAAAGCTAATCAACATTATTTATTGGGAGCATTTAACATATATGAATGAGACTGGTTAATAAATATAAATTGAATGCACATGCCTTGATCATAAAATTAATGTGATGAGGATAGGGACAATAACAAGCATGGTTCGATTTATAATTAGACGTTGTCACAAATATCCAGTTCAAAAATAAATAAGATATCGAGTCCTAATCGCTGGCGAAATGTCACGCGAAAACACCTTGGACTGGTTGGGATGATGACCCCACGGGTAGCCGCTACCTGCCTCTGATGCCTGTATGCAAATTGTGTTGTTTTCCGAACGACTCGAGTCAATGTACTAGAGATCGTTTATTAGTAATTTATTAGATCGATTCCCCGCACCCAAAATACATCACAAAAGTATTAGATAATCTGCTATTCCGGTGGTCAAAATTTAGTTGTTTAATAATAATACGAGTTAAACAGGATTTTGAGAATAACCGCTGTTTATGTAGAGTAGGCGATGCGTAGGTATTTTATATTTTGCACACTCTTCCAAACGAAAACTAAAAGCTTTCATTAGCACGCTTGTAATACCTATGAGGTTTTCCCTGTGCATGAAAACAACTATAAAGGTTTAAACATGTATTATAATTGCAATGAATGGATCACGTTAGCAATTTACAAACAAGATCATTATAATTAAGTAAGTATCTTAATTCTGTATCAACATCCCTGAAGTGGCAGGCAGAGCACACTGCACATGAAATGTACCTAAATAGCTATTAAATTAATGTCACAATCACTTTACAGTCATTAAGTGTCACATAGTAGGCTTATTGCCATTAAACCTGTTTGCAATTAAATTTTCTTTAGCCGATTATTTTAATTTGATTGTATTACGTTGTAAATTGTTTCGTGTATTCACGTGTATATATCTGATTGACGGTAATAGGTTTTGTCTTTAGTAGGTTTTTGAATTTCATATTAAGTAGGTACTACTACTTACTTAGGTACATGCCGGTCGATACCTGTTATCAGAATTTGTGTAAAATCCAATATTTTGAACACAAATAGTCACCTAAACAAGTAGCGGCCGTTGACATTGTCACCACAATAAAATGAGAATAAACACAAAGTTTGGTAAACCAGTCTCAAGTGTTGATCTTAATTCTTGAGTCTGTCAAGTTATGTTAATTACGCAAAGACGCAGTGCTATACATGATAGAAAGGTCATTGACCGCTACCGCCTACACTACAATGTTTTCAGTTCGGGCGCCGCACATAGAAAATCCAATCTTTATTAATGGTTCCTTTGTACTACATCAATTGATTTACAAACCACAAAGACATTGTTAGCGGAGTAAGCTTTTTGTACAGACTTTTTACCACCACTATTCTTAACGGTATTACCTATAAGCTTTAATTTAAATGTCGTCAGATAAATGATATTGTTATCGATGTCAACAAACGTTTTATTACAATAAAGGTCGACAGCCTCCGAACCATCTATTCCATGAATTTAATGCGAAACACGATAGTTGACTGTCAAGAATAAAAATTAGGGAAAGACGAAACCAGTATTTCTAACAAAACATGTTCGAATATGTCAAACTTTTGATCGAAAGCTTTGTTTATTTTATGTGATACAATGCCTCTATATTGTATATACATACCTTACCCACTGATATTTTAAAATGTTAATTTATTTTTCAGTGCGCTTTAGCGTTAGCGTTATGCGCATACGCATTAGCATCTCCTCGCGCGGGATTCACATTCACGAGAAGTGCTGTTGAAACGGTTCCACAACATGATCCCATAGCTGCACCAATACGTGCCTCCGTCGAAAGTATACCGTTAAGGTAAATAGAATAAAAATGCGATGTAAATGATGTTTTATTATGCACCTGTAGAGTTACAGTATTGATTCAAATTACTTGCTTCAAAGGAGCGTTCGTGACGAGGGAGATGAGAGGCTACCATTACGTGATGCAGTAGAAAAAAGGCCAATCTCACTAATAGAACCTGAATCTGCTTTCAAATTGATTGAGGTAATTATAATGTTCCCATTGATTACCCAAATACCGAACGTGAAAATAATGATAATTAAACAGATTTCATAAATGGTACTTTTCCTTAGGATGCTGAGGAAATATCAGATGAAGGAAGCTTTAGCGGGTTGAAATATTATGGCGCTGCTGATCATCTCAACATGTAAGAAACTTTTCGATACAAATTATGACTATGAAAATGTTGATGAATTAGGTACTTTATACATAATTAATAAAACGTTTAATGTAATTACGTATTTTCTTGGCAGCAAGACACGCAACGATGAGAGACTACAGCAAGGAAATGCGAACTTGCAAGGTAATCACGTTATTCTATAAATATTTACATAAATGTGTTTCCATATTGTGTATGTCTGACTAATTTATATCCTTGATATTGTTATCCAGCGATGCAACAGACAGTAGCGGGCCCTACGGCGCGTCGTATCGTGGTGTGCTACATGAAGTCGTGGGCGGCATACAGGGCTCCTCCACTAGCGTTCACGGCTGGACTAGTGCCCAAATCTTGCACCCACCTCCACTACGCATTCGCCACTATGCACCCCCATACATACTCAGTTATTCCTAACAATGAGGATTACGATATTGTTAAAGGTGAGAAACGTAATAAACGCTAATTTTAGCAGTGTTTTGTTCTAAATCCCCTATGACCTTAACTGTCATTTTTAAAAGTACTTGATATTAATTCAAATTGGTGTGGTATGAATCCCGATTGTACCTAGTTAAATAACCGTATTAAACAACTTTTACACTTTCGTCTCAGGTGGTTATCGCATAGCGACGGGGCTAAAAAAACGTCTTAATGGCTTGAAAGTGATGATCAGTGTTGGTGGGGAAGGCACAGACCGTCTATTCAGTGAAATGGTACAGGAACCAGAAAGGCGGAGCATGTTCATAGAAAGCGCCGTAAACTTTATGAGAGAGCATGACTTCGACGGTTTAGATCTTCATTGGGTTTACCCAGGTAAGTCAGAAAGATTAACATAGGCATGTTTGCACATATTCTCTTATAAAATAGAAAATCTAATTAAATTATTATATTCAGGTGAAGACGAAAACGAAAGAGAGTTGTTGACAGCACTCCTCTACGAACTCCGAGAGAAGTTTTCGTCTTATGGATTCCTGCTTTCTACCGTTTTGCCACCGTTCAGGTATGATAAAATCTAAACCTAAAACTTTAATACACTCATCTATTTACTTCAAAAAAACATTAATATTTAAATTTTTCTCTACTGTTAGATATCAAATAGAAGACGGGTACGACTTGAGTGCTGTCAGTGGAGCGACCGACTACACAGTGCTACAGGCCTGGGACATGACACATGGCAAGTCTGACGAGCCACCTTCCAGAGCTGTGCAGCATAGTCCACTCCGTAGAGATCCTGGAGCTACTGCAAGAGACCAAAGATATGATAACATTGTAAGTTCTTACTAAATTTAGGATCACCCCATTCATCTTTATTTTGCTAAAAACTATTTATTCAAATTTACATTTCACATGACTTCATATGAAAATAATATTAAGTATTTAACAAAACATTTTAAAACCAGGAATTCATGGTGAAGTTCATCCTTCGACACGGTATGAATGCTGAGAAACTAGTGCTTGGCATTCCATTCTTTGGAAGAACATACTCTCTTGCATCGTCAGCGCGATCTGCTCCAGGCGCCGCAGTTAGCGGTTGGGGTGAAGAGGGAGCTTACACTCAAACTAAAGGACTCTTATCTTACTTTGAAGTGAGTATTTAAGTAACCAAAATAAGTTTCATGTCTATTATAAGTTGGCTAAAATAAACTACAGGTACATACATTTCTTAATACATCTCCATTACATCTGCAGATTTGTATGGCCGAACGTGAAGGTAAAGGATCAAGTAACGTCGATGAAGCTGGAAATACTTACATAGTGTTTGACAAAGAATGGGTCACATACGACACTCCAGTGACTGTCTTAGAAAAGGTACGTTTTCCTAATAGCAATATGTTGCTACAGTTAGCAATGCTTTATCTTTGTTTTCATCTACGCTATGATACATATAGACGTGTAAATTAATTACTTTTCCAGATGAAATTTGTGGTGACTACAGGCTTAGCAGGAGCTGCGGCGTGGTCCATTGACATGGACGACTTCAGAGGATTGTGTGGTCAGCCCTTCCCACTCTTGAGCGCTATTTCAACCACACTTAATGGTAATGTTACGCATAAGATCTGTCCGACAGTACATTTATGATATCTCGGTCTTTAATTTTACTAACCTAATGAGTTCTCTTCTTTTTATACAGGTGAATCTGTCCAAACAGATCAATCTTCATTGAAAATAGGTTCCTGTGAATCTGATAATCCGTACTTAGCGTCAGACATAGACTCTTGCGCACACTTCCACTTCTGCACCGGCGGTATCAGCTACAGAATGTCTTGTGAAGACGATCGTCTTTACGATCCCTCTACTGGATTCTGCGGGTATGTTACCTATAAAACAATTTATTACTTATCAATGCCTCTATTAAAAATATTTGTCGTCTAAAAATACATCTCTTTACCACTTTTTCCCAACAGCCACCAAGATGTCGCAAAATGTATGCCAGGACAAAGTCTGCGAATCAGTGTTGAGGACGCAGCTCGTTTCCTATCCCAAGCGTATGAAACTGATTTCGAAGTAAGTTAATCTAGTTCAAACAGAAATGAAAAAACCTATGACTAATTTGTAAACTTAAAAAAATCCAATAACTCTAATGAATATTTGCAGTGGAATGAACCCAGCAAAGACATGACAGCAAATAATGACCCCGAGCGTTTGATTGCCGAGATGGACACCAAAAAAAGTAAGAAATTTAAATAATTTTACACAAATAACGTAATGTGAAGCTGTTTTTTTCTAATTTTATATTATTTTCTAGGTAAACAAAGTGACAAGCTCGTGGTATGCTACATGACAAGCTGGGCATTCTATCGTCGCGGTGACGGAAAGTTTGTTCCGGAAAATATTGACACAAGACTGTGTACCCATGTGGTCTACGCCTACGCATCGCTCTCTCCTGATGAACTTATCGCTAAGGAGTTTGATCCTTGGGCCGATGTCACCAACAGTGAGTAAAAATAAATTTTATACAACCAAAACATTTTGTGCCTCTTAGTTACTTTGACTTCTACTTTATTAAATACATATGTGTTATGTTAATTGAAATAATATTTGTTTTAAAGATCTTTACGAGCGTGTCACATCCTTGAAAGATGTCAAAGTTCTCCTTGGGTTGGGTGGCTGGACGGACTCCGCTGGCGATAAATATTCCCGGATGGTATCATCACAAGCTTCTCGCAGCAAGTTCATAGAAAAATTGATTCCATTCTTGCGCATGCACAACTTTAAGGGTCTTCATTTGGATTGGAACTACCCTGTTTGTTGGCAAAGCAATTGTAAAAAGGGAGCCGTATCTGATAAACCTCATTTCGCTAAATTCGTTCAGGTATATACTTAATGAACCTCATTTTATGTCGTTTAAGAAACGCACAAATTGAAGATATGCATAAAAATATTTAATTTGATATTCATAAAAAATCTTGTTCTCAGGAACTGTCTAATGCATTGCATGGAGCTAGTATGGAACTTGGTATCGCCATTTCTGGGTATAAAGAAGTGATCGAGTCCGCGTACGACTTACCAGTTCTATCGAAAGCTGCCGATTTCCTTAGCACCATGACTTATGATTACCATGGAGGATGGGAAAAGGCTACTGGACACCATACACCATTAGTTCCTCCTTCTAAAGAAACTCTAGCTCATTATTCTGTCGTAAGTTCAATTATCCTATTACAAAATTAATCGTAAAATAAAATAAATGGTTTAAGTTCAGTAGATTTAAAATATATTTGTTTTTCAGGAATATGCTATTAAAGCTTTGATCAGTGGAGGAGCTGATCCTAAGAAACTTCTCTTAGGATTATCGTTCTACGGTCAGTCCTATAGACTCAATGATATGAACGGAGTGAAGGGCCCTGGATCTCCTGCCGCTGGACCTGGTGAACCAGGAGAGTTTACTAAACAACCTGGAATGTTGGCTTACTATGAAATATGTTATCGAGGTAAGAAACTATTAGACTGTCTGATTAGTTGTTAATATGCAGTTTTTTGATATTCACACATTTATATTTAAATATTAGCCTCATGTAGACACTAAAAGCGTAACTCAATAATTCATTTATTACAGTGAAAAACTTACGATGGAAGACAGGCAGACAAGATAATGCCGGCCCTTACACATACTCAGACAACCAGTGGGTTGGATACGATGACCCCAAATCTATCACTGAAAAGGTTGGTTGCATTCATTTTTTGCTGCGACCGTAAGCTTATTAAGACTTTTCTTTGAAATACAATTCAATTGAAATCCCAAACCGCACGGTGAACTTAATTTAGGTCGGTTATTAGTTTGTAATTACTTACCATGACACATCACTTGTGTTGTGCACTCGTCACAATTAGTTTTATTTTATTATTTTTTAATATTGGTTGCAATTCATTCCCACGTCCCTATAAAACACTTATAAGTTGCTCCACAATGTTCATCAAATTCTATGGTTGGCTGGTAGAGAATGCCATTCGGCATTAAGTCCGCCATTACATACAATTGTACAAAAAGTGTTAAATAATAAATAAATAAATATTTGAAGAATCCGAATGAAAAAATAACACCTGTAACTATTTTTTTAATTTTCTTCTTCATCTGTAACAAAACCACAACTGAATTCACCATATTACACGCATGTGAACAGGTGGAATGGGCATTGCGACAAGGTATGGGCGGTGTCACAGCGTGGGCAATAGACCTGGATGACTTCAGCAACCGTTGCTGCGCTGAGCCGTCACCCCTACTCCGTGCGGCAGGCCGCGCTCTCGGCAGGAGCGTGCCATCTCCTCCGACCACGGCCTGCGAGAGACCACCAGAACCTGTCACTCCAGCGGCGCCTACTACAACTACTGCTGAATTTGATGGTAACTTCAATGAGCACTAAGTCAACTCATCATAGTGTTTAATCGCTATATTTTTTATAATTATTATTTAAAAATCTGCAAGTAATTATGGCTTTAAATGATTAACGTCATACAAACTTTACTATCACAGGTTCTGCGGGTGGCAGTCACGACCACCACCACCACGACCACACATCAACGACGTGGCCGAGCTGGAACCCATCCACCACTACCCCCAGCACCGCCCAGACATGGTGGCCCGCTGCAACCACTCCCATGACCACTACCTCTTCAAGTACCACTACTAAACGTCCGACTACTACAAAACGACCTGCTACTACTACCACCAAAAAGCCAGCAGCAGACTCTGGTAAAATTTTACAACAAATCATTTAACAATAGTGTTGAGCTTATAACTTTGATTGGAGGTAACTTCTAATAAAAGAGTAAATAAGTTATGTTATTTAAATGGATAGAAATAAAGAGACTACAGTAGAATAATAAAAACTATAATGAGATTTTCTATTGCAGGAAGCATAGAAGGTACATCATGCAATGCAGGTGATTACCAGGCGGCGCCAGGCGACTGCGAGGGATACTTACAATGTGAAGGCGGTATGTGGCGCAAACATCGTTGCGCTCCCGGCCTACACTGGGCCACCTTCGTCAACCGCTGCGACTGGCCCAGCTTCGCCAAGTGTACCGGTAATTACTCCTTCATATTTCTTTTTTTTTTTAAAAACGTTGCCCCACACTAGGATTATCTCCTGTGTCGTGGGTGCGTTTACAAACATACAAGTTCACATACACAGTGACACCCAGACCCGAAACAACAATTTGTGGATCACACAAAGTGTTGTTCCGTGCGGGAATCGAACCCGCGACACGTTGCACGGCAGCCGGTTGCCCAGCCACCGCACCAACCGTGCAGTCAATGGGAGATAAAATTAACGACAATATAAATATTCAAACATTAAATATGGACTTGCATTGTATATGGTCATAATAGAATAATTCTTTGGACATTTCAATTATAAAGGCTTAGATACAGTCTAACTTTGAGAATTTGTTTGTTATTTGTTTCAGCAACGGCAAGTAGTGAAGCAAGTACCGCCACATCTACTCTAGCTCCAGTGGCCTCCCGTCCGCCACCAAGACCGACCACCACCACTAAACGTCCCACTACGACCACCACTACGACCGCTCGACCAACTACTAAACCAACCACCATAGGAATACAAGCAGGTAACATAAATATAAATATAATGATGGCAAATATATTTTTACCTTTCTATTTATTTTAACATTAATAAATTGTAATCAATTCGAACAGACGAGGGTCCACTGGAGGGTGATTCATGTATTGGCGAACAATACAGTTCAGTGCCCGGAGACTGCAATGCGTACTTACATTGCGACGGTACCTCGTGGCACATGCAGCGCTGTGCCCCCGGCCTGCACTGGAGCAACGTACAGAAACACTGCGACTGGCCCAAGTACGCCAAGTGTGAAGGTGAATATTCTATTAATTATCCGTGGACAGTGCAATACAATTAGCACATTTAATTGATTTAAACTATATTGACAAACATAAATATTTTTTTTCTTTCTGCAGTACCAAAATCTACAACAGCAGCTCCTAAGCCCACTCGGCCAACGAGGCCAACTACGACGACATCCACCACTACAACAACTACCACGAAAGGTTCGTTTGTATTTATACACGTTACAATTTACAACAAGCATACCAAAATAACAATAATTACATCTGTACATTTGTCAACAGCGCCTCCATCAAGTTCTGCATTGGAAGATTCACCCTGTGGTGGAAACGACATGCATGCTCCCTCAACGACATGTGATTCGTACCTGCTTTGCGTTGGGGGTCGCTGGCGTAAGCAACTCTGTCCTCCTGGTCTTCACTGGGACAAGAGGACGCGACGATGCGACTGGGTCGAATTCGCTATGTGTGAAGGTAAATTCTAAAACAACTTAATTAGAAAATAATTATCATATAACTTAACATTAGTTCCCAAGGGCTACTAATATTTTTTTCTGTTTCATCGCAGCTGCTTGATTGTAAATAACATCAAACAATTTTATAAGTATTTTTATTTCTATTACAATATAAACGCATTTTTTAATTACAACAGTGGGTAAACCATCCAAGTCTACAACAACAAGTACAACGACCACCACCACTACCACAACCACAACGACCACAGCACGACCCACGACCACAACCAGTAGACCCACCAGACCCACAAGACCCACGACCACTAAAAAACCACTCGCCGATGAAGCTCAAGTGCCTGGAAAAGTAGGTTTTAACTGTGGACACAAAGCGTTTCACTTTTTACCGATTTTTTACACCATAATATTATAATTACCAATCACAACCTTTCTCCAGGGCTGCAACACAGGCACGTATCACGCACATCCCAAGTGCGAGAAATTCTACGTGTGTGTTAATGGTATGCTGATAACACAAAGCTGTGCACCAGGCCTCGTGTGGCGGCCAGACCGCAGCCAGTGTGACTTCCCCTCCTCGTCCTCATGTACTGACAAACGACAGAACGACACTCCCGTCAGCGACTCTACTAACTCGCAGTCCACCATGATGCAGCAACTCAATCAAGAACCACCCAGTAAGTGATGTAAACTACATATAACTTAATCTTGATAAACTGGCAATACTTCTTTTTCGTAATTAAAACGAAATTATTTAGGACTAAAAACTATATTGTGCTATTTTTCAGAGTACTGTGAAAGTGGAACTTATGCTCAATTGCCATCAGACTGCACACGATACCTCCATTGCTTATTCGGTAAATTTGAAGAATTCGCTTGCAGTGCTGGATTACACTGGAATCAGGTAATTAATTTGTCAAATCACTGATTACAAATTAAAGGTTACATATAAGCGGTTAAACAATTGTAATGTATTAATTAACTTTACAGGAAAAACAAATCTGTGACTGGCCTAAGAATGCTAAATGCAAACGCAAGCAAGGTTCTTCGACCACTACAAGTACAACATCAACCACATCTCGACCTGTCCAAATGGATCCAATTGAGCCAGAACATGAACATATCTCTGAACATGGGCATGATCATTCCCACCATGATCATGAGCATTCTCACGCCAAACCAACTAAACCTTTAGCTTCTCCATCCAGCGTGCATACACAACCTGATATAAGTACCAAACCAGCTCTTCTAAATTGTAAGTTCTATTCCCAAAATTTACACTAAATTATACGAAAAATAAGTAGTTCAAAGGAAAAATACTGTAACGAAATATTATTTCACAGCTCGCTACAAACTGGTGTGCTACTACACGAACTGGTCATGGTATCGCCCTGGTATCGGCAAATACAGTCCAGAGGATATCGACCCAACTCTTTGCACTCATATCGTCTATGGATTCGCTGTTCTTGGAGATGATGGTCTCATTATGGCTCATGATTCCTGGTCGGATATTGATAATGGTACTTTATCATATTGATGTTACATTATAATATTGATGATACTTAATTAAAGATTTTTTCAGGCTCGACATAATTGCACATTATTTTATTATTAGTAACATATATCTAACAAAAGATGTGCTCAATACTAATTATAATTATCAATATTTTCAGGATTCTACGAAAAAGTAGTAGAGTTCAAACGCTATGGCATCAAAGTATCGCTGGCTATCGGCGGATGGAATGACTCGGCTGGTGACAAATATTCTAAGTTGGTCAATGACCCTGCGGCTCGCGCCCGATTCGTCTCACACGTCGTGCAATTCCTCAAAAAGTACGGCTTCGATGGATTGGATCTTGACTGGGAATATCCAAAATGCTGGCAGGTAAGAAAGAGAAAAACTTGCGCGTTTACATCATTTCACTCAATATTGGATTAAATTGGTAATATTTTATAAATTTCAAAACAATAGTAAAGAAATACTCAGACAATCATTAATTTCAAATTTTTTAACTTCTTGCTTAGGTTGATTGCTCCAAGGGTCCTGACTCAGATAAAGAAGCTTTTGCTGACCTTGTTCTTGAGCTGTCTGCCGTATTTAAGCCAAAGGGTCTGCTTTTATCAGCGGCCGTGTCTCCTAACAAGAAGGTCATCGATGCAGGTTACGATGTGCCCGTGCTGGCTCGCCATCTCGACTGGATCGCTGTAATGACATACGATTATCATGGTCAATGGGACAAGAGAACTGGCCATGTGGCTCCTTTGTACTACCACCCTGAAGACGGCACGACATACTTCAATGCGGTATGTTTTTAAAATACGGTAACCCAGTATGCAATATTATAGAGACTGAGGAATAATGTATATTTTTGTATATTACAGAACTACACTATTCACTACTGGATGAAAAAAGGGGCTCCAGCGAACAAACTGATCATGGGAATGCCAATGTACGGGCAGACGTTCACGTTGGGTACCGAAAAAGAATCATCACAGACTCTCAGTTTGAGCAGCGAAGATACTGGTTTGAATGCTCCGGCTTCAGATGGTGGAGAAGCTGGAGAGTATACCAGAGCTAAAGGTTTCTTGTCTTATTACGAGGTACGGAATTACAGACATAAATTATTACTGTCTACTTAACTATATAAATTATAATATCAATCTGTTGTTTTATAATTTAGATTTGCGACCGCATCAGATACAATGGATGGAAAGTAGTCAAAGATCCTTACCAGCGTATGGGTCCGTACGCATACAAGGGTAACCAGTGGGTATCATTCGACGACGTCGAGATTATCAAAAGGAAAGTGAACTTCATAAAATCATTAAATCTCGCTGGTGGTATGGTCTGGGCACTGGATCTTGATGATTTCAAAAATAGGTGAGTTTTATAGAGTCGTTTAAACCTATTTTGCTACTATACAAGAAAATACTGCAGAAACTATATTAACTTTTTAAAATTGTTTATTTTAGATGTGGTCAAGGAAAACATCCGCTTGTTAACGCAATCAAGAATGGCTTACTGGATTCTAAAGTGGAGGAAGATACAATCTTATCTGACCCAATAATTGAACCTCCAAACGCAATAGATGAAGATTCAGATGACATTCAAGTACGTCCTATTAAAAAACCGACTCCAAGGCCCACACAGATGACGACACAGATGGCGACACACTGGCAAACAACTGCGCTCACAACTACTACCAAGAGGCCCGTAACGACTGTCAGCACCAATTTGGAAGACCGTTACAAGGTGGTCTGCTATTACACCAACTGGGCTTGGTACAGGTAAATATTTTACATGTAATAATATTCTGAAAGAATTATCTGCGATCTGATTATACGACTTTTTCAACTATGTTGTTCCTGATGTAATGTTATAATTAAATATTTTTTCTTCTAGACCTGGTCCAGGAAAGTTCACACCTAGCGACATTGACTCCTCGCTTTGTACCCACATTGTGTACGCTTTTGCTGTCCTTGACACCAAGCGCCTGGTGATCAAACCACATGACATTTGGTTGGATGTTGAAAACAGTATGTAGCCACTTTCTACAATTATACAATGTTTTATATATGAGTATATGATATTGATGTTTTTTTTAATTCTGCACACAGAATTCTACGAAAAGGTAGTGTCGCTAAAACAGAAAGGCGTGAAAGTGGTCCTTGGAATCGGTGGATGGGATGACTCGGCAAGTGACAAATACTCACGAATGGTGAACAGTCCATCAGCACGAAGGAAGTTTGTCATCCACGCTCTAGACTTTATAGAACAGTACGATTTCGACGGATTGAATCTTGATTGGGAATACCCCAAGTGCTGGCAAGTGAGTATCAATACTTATTCCCAATTTTTCTAATTACAAATGGAGAATTGATCTACAGAATATACTTAATAATTGATGGGTTATATTTTAGGTTAACTGCGAAAAGGGTCCGAGCTCCGACAAACAAGGCTTTGCGAACCTCGTAAAGGAACTTCGTGCTGCATTCAAGCCCAGGGGCTTATCGTTGTCCGCAGCAGTCTCGGCTAGCAAACGCGTTATAGATGCTGGTAAGTCACACTAAATAACAATTACTTATTATTTTAAATTCATTTTCTTCTATTCTCATGAACGCAACTAACGTACACACATTGTATGTATGTACCTAATTGATATTTTATTTTAGCTTACGACGTTGCAACGCTCTCCAAGAACCTTGATTGGATTTCTTTGATGACGTATGACTACCACGGTCAATGGGACAAGAAGACTGGACACTTATCTCCAATGTATGCCAGCGAAGATGACGAAGATAAAACTTTGAACACAGTACGTGCAGCTACAATATTTTATTTTGAAATAAGTATATTAGAAATGTTCAAAATATTGACACAGGTTATTTATTTCACAGGATTTTTCGGTGAACTATTGGATTAGCAAAGGAGCATCTCCTGAGAAGCTAATATTAGGCGTTCCATTCTACGGTCAATCATTTTCACTGGAAGAGAATGCAGGATCCGGTCTGGGAGCGCCTTCTTACGCAGGTGGAGAGGCTGGCGATGAAACGAGAGCTAGAGGCTTCTTGTCATTCTACGAAGTGAGTAGATAATAAATTGTTTTTCGCTCGATAATGGAATGTAAAAGTGTTCCTTACTCAAATAACTTACACATTTTCTACCTTCTACTAGATTTGCGACCGTATCAGGATGAAGGGTTGGAAGGTATCCCGAGACCCAGGAGGCCGTATGGGACCTTACGCTAGCTTTGAAGATCAATGGGTTTCGTTTGATGATGACTTTATGGTACGCCACAAAGCAGAGTACGTGCGCTCGATGGGTCTGGGAGGTAGCATGGCATGGTCTCTTGACCTTGACGACTTTAGTGGAAAGAATTGCGGTTGTGGAAAATCTCCTCTCCTCGCTACTATTAATCATGTACTCAGAGGTCTGGAAGCACCACCTAGATGTCCGCTAGAAGAACGTAAGTCTACTAAATATTTGCTAAGTTAATACTTACAATATCTAGACATTTGGAAGATATTCCTCGTATGCGTATAAATCACACTCATTTTATACAAATTAATTTTTATATTCATAGTACAAGCCGATACTCCGGAAACAGCGGAAGTCCCTGAAATTGAAGTGCCAGAACCGGATGATATACCAGCCATTGCTGTTGAAGAAGTTGATACCGACGCTAACACTGATACCGATACCGATTCAAACACAAATGTTGACACTGATACTGACACGGACACAGATTTAGTTGAAAATAGTGTAAGTAAAGTTACTACAAAAAATGTACAAAAAATTAAACATTAAATAACTAATACTGAAAGGCTTATGTACTCAATTTTGTATGCGCTTAAGTATAGTTGTGTCTCTAAAAAATTTTTGTAAAATGACAGAGATATGGCAAGACATTTAAGTACACCGTAAAATTGAGTAGCCTTTCAGTATTATGATTAATTATTTTTTATTATTATCATGTTTTTCTTTAATAACTATCATGAGACATACTAAGTTAATTGAAAATACGTGAATAAACCGCGATTTTTAATTGATCATTGTGTTATTGAACAGGGTCCAAGTCTGGAAGGTGGTGCATGCACAGGTACTGTATTCAAAGCCGACGAGAACAAATGCAGCAAGTATTACCTGTGTCTTAATGGACACTGGATGCAATTAGAATGCCCTGCACCTCTACAGTGGCACAAGGTAAAATTGATTGCTATATTGTTGTTAATAATGAATTATTTATTAAGAAGGGCGTTACTTAAATATTATTTTTACAGAATCACTGTGACTGGCCTGAAAAAGCCCAATGCAGAACAAAGGCTGGACTAAGAATTGGAGGCATAGAACCGGAAGAAATACAAGATGACAAGTCTATTGTAGGATGCTACTTCACTAATTGGGCTTTCTATAGGTAACAACGATATCATAATCACAAAAAATCTTAAAATAACACTCAATTTAACAATTAACTGAGATATGCATGTCTGCTGTCACAAATATTTATAATTACCGCACGTAATTATAAATATTTAATTCCAAGCCCATTTTTATTTTATTAATTCCAGGCCCAGTAAAGGCAGCTTTGGACCAGAACAAGTAAACCCATCTCTATGTACCCACATTATATACGCCTGGGCACATCTTGATGGCAATTCCTTTAATTTGATTCCTGGAAACTCCGAACTTGATCTGGAAAATGGTGTGTATTACGTACAAAATACGAGAAAAATACTTACCTTCAATACAATCATTCTTCTCCAGGTTCCCTAAAGTCCTGTTTCTTATTTTAGACTTTTACGGCAAGCTAACACAGCTGAGACAAACTGGTGTCAAAGTTATTATCGGTGCTGGTGGCCTTACGGATTCTGAAAGCAGAAAATGGAGCACAATGGTATCAAGTCCAGAAAACAGAACGATATTTGTGAATTCAGTATTGAAATTCTTGCAAAGATGGCACTTCGATGGTATTCAGATTGCTTGGCAGTACCCAGGATGCCGACAGGTAAATCTTTTAAATTTGTTTATTTTTTAGTTAGTATTTGTGTTGTTACAATCATTTTTATGTTTGTTTTTATTTTAGACTCCATGCACCAGCGAATCTTTCAACTATAAGGAGAGGGACAATTTCGCCGACTTACTGTCCGAGTTATCAAGAAAGCTTCGTCCTCACAACCTTGAGATATCAGCCATGGTTACCGCTTCGCCAGAAATCGCTCAACTAGCCTACAAGCCTCACATCCTAGCCTCAGAATTAGACTGGGTCGCTATTGCTGCTAATGATTACTATGCGTCCTCCACTGGAAAGACATCGTATTTAGTGCCACTACAGTCAAGTCATGGAAGCAATAGCTTGGTAAGTTAATAAATTAATCTCTGACCATAAAACTATTTTTTGTTAAGTATTTGTATAATGCCTTACCAAACTACTTCCAAAAATAAACAATAGTAACCTAAAACTAATTCTTTAGAATGGTAACTTACAAACATTAATACTTGTGTATATTTTGTGTGCAGAACGCCTCCCTGTCGTACTGGACGAGTGCGTTGCCGCCTCGTCATGTAGTGCTCGGTATACCAGCGTACGGGCGCTCGTACACTCTGCGCAGCGCTTCCAACACCGCGCTGGGAGGTCCTGTCACCGGCCCCGGGGAACCTGGACCTTACACACGCGTACCAGGCCTCTTGGCCTATTATGAGGTCAGTACATCTTCTTTCTTTTTTCAGCGATCCAAATTTACCCTTTCCATAGAACCAATTTATAGATGAATGGTGACTTTTTTTTACGAAAATACACATGTTAAATTACGGATAAATTTTAGTTAAATAGATAAAAAACGTACGAGCAAAATGAAGAGACAGATCATATTATTATCTATAGATAAGATAGTGAAGGCCTACTTTTAGAGCTACATGTGTAAATGACATCGGATGATTTTATTACGATTGATTCTTGTTGCTATGCTATATCATGACAGGATCCGAACTTTATATCCGACAATGTCGATACAAAACAATAACATATTATTTTTGCCAGGTTGCGGATGGTTTAGCGAGTCACCAATGGAAGGAGAGTCGAACTTCGGAGGGTACGTTTAGTGTCCGCGGTGGACAATGGGCATCGTACCTGAGCGTGGCGGACGTTGGAAGTATAGGCGCAGCAGCGAGACGGGCTGGTGCCCGCGGTGCGGCGCTGTGGGCGCTCGACCTCGACGTGCGAGGAGACTGTTCACTGCTGAACGCCATGCGCCGCGGTCTCATTGAACCTGACCTACCTCTCGAGCAGTGCGCACCTGCAGCGTGAACATTATAACCTCGGAGTAGGTACCCAGAAACCCATACTTTGTTTTATGTTAAAACGGTGACTTCTCTGTGAGATACCGATTATGAGACTGTCGTGTGGGTGCTCGTCCAAGACTTAATTTAGTTTATACTTAACTATTTAGATATTTCATTGTGATATTTTTGATACGTAGGTAGGTGAATTGTCTACTTATTAATATGTGCGTAGAGTTCTCGCGTAAATTCCTTGATTTTTACTTGACGGCCAGTTTAATTTAAAGGTATTTTTTTGTTCTTTCTACCTACTATTTACCGATGTACTGATTAGGTCAAAATTCCGATTTAAGTAGAAGTGCAAGGAATTAGGATAATTGATGATTTGACAATAAAAAAATGAGATTAACTTAAGCCCTTTCTCTATAAAAATGTAATAATTTTTACAATAGGTAATTTGGAGCCAATAATATTAGAAATTACCGTACTATGAATAGTTACCAGAACACTTACCTACTGCGTATAGTGCGTATGATATGATGATGCTTCATTGCTGACATCACTGATTAAACATTGCACATTTCGTCTGATAATAAAATGACTACTTTAATTGTACGCTGTGTTTTAATTATCACCCTGAGTAAATAAACTCTTTAATAAGATTTACCTTTATTAAGAATTTTCATTCTCACCTTGAATTTTATAATAATAATAGGTATTTCCAACTTCAGGAAGGAAGATATCATGTACTTACTTACATCCTTAGACAAAGGTTACATTTTAATGTTGCATTGGTTGCAAATAATCTTGACCTAGTGGTGTAACAAATGAGTGTGTAGTGTGTGTAGGTATATGTATGTTGGTACTTACGTTTTAATTAACCGAATATATTAAAATATGTACCTATGTATAAATTGTTGCATCAGTTCATCGGTGTTCAATCAAACAAAACTAAATAACATTTGTTACATTAAACTGCCAAACACCAAGCGGTCACCGGTGACCGCAACCTATTGTTCTATATAATTGTGTCTATAATGACGGTACTCGACGAGTTAATGTAATACATACATAACAGTCGATTAGTTAGTCTGACAAGCGACAATTGACACGAACAGGTATATTTTGTATTACTGAGTAGGTACTGCTTCATCAAAGCGCCATTGATAACACCCTGATGTCACACAATTACATCACCCAATGATTTGCAAAAATACCTATGTCTAGGCGTGACAATTACCGTGACTTTTTATTTTCCATATAAAATATATTATGCTATGTCACACAATGACTACGTTAACGTATCACCGTTATCCAAACAGTCGAAAGTTCAAAAGTACAAAATCCAGCGGGTGATGTAAAACCCGATTATAGACAGTCAAGGTCATCGAACCGCTAGACAGATTAAATATTTATCCCACATATAGAACAGCAAGACAATTACATATTGCAAAAATATAATACGTCTAAGTATAGATAATATCAATTTTACGCTTGATAAGATACGTACAAACGTGAACACTAATAAATCCTACTAGATACTGGAACTCGATTATAAACTGTATAACTCCGTGAGTCCAAACTCCATCCAGTTTGACAATTGATTCATATAACAGCACACGTCACGCCGGTTTCGTACATATTGTTGGGTCAGAACTAACATAATTATACGAACTGTGTAACAAAAGTGAATATAAATGTCATTATTGTAATAGCAGACATAATATAACTACTATCAGGTATAGCGAAACTGAAGTAAAATAATCAAATAACCTCTTAAAAGTGCGTTGAACTTGTATCTAACAATACACGACTGTGTTAACAATTGACTTATTATAAATAATTACAAACTACCTTCAACAAATAAAAAAGTATTTATTAGATAATATGTGATAGATATTTTTGCAAGTCAAACACAAAAGATGACTAAACTTTTTTACACAATTTTGACTACAAGCGCGCCAAAATTAAAGTCCGCTCCTTTTATAAGGAAACTGAGCAATCAGGTAAGTAAATACCTTTATGAATTTGTGCCTATTAATACTAATAATTATTTTGTTAAGACTTTGTATGCTTATTGAAAAGATTCACGTCACAAGCCACAAGAGACGATATGAGATACTTAACGTAAGTAGGTACTTAAATATAAAAATGAGCAGTATACATAAATAAATAATAAATTACTGAATGAATGTGCATAATTTTTACTAGACCGTGTAGGCTATAGGTCGATGAATCTGCATAAGTAAATAGTGTACTTTGAACGGAGGAGCGAATTTATAAGTACCAAATAGAAAGACAATATTAATTTTATTACTTTTACCAACAGATTCCTACTAAAGAAGTACGGATACCAGTACAATATGGACATATTGCGGGCAAGCTATGGGGCAACAGTAGTGAGCGACCTATACTGGCATTACACGGATGGCAAGACAATGCGGGCACCTGGGACCCTCTGATCCCCATGATCATCAAAGATAGACCGATATTAGCATTAGACTTTCCTGGACACGGATTTTCGTCCTGGACACCCGGTACATAATATGAATACATCTCTTCCAATAACGCCTAAGTATAGCATGTACCTATTATGGGCACAGTATAACGAATTCATTAATTTTCAGGTCTAACATACAACGAATGGGAATGGCCAAGATTGATTTTATATCTTAAAGAATACTTCAAGTGGGATAAAGTTTCCTTTCTATCTCACTCTATGGGAGCTATCGCTGCAACGCGGTTCGCTAGCGTGTTTCCCGAGGACGTCGATTTTTACATAGCAATAGACAGTTTTATATTAGAAAACTTAAATACCAATACTTTAGTAGAAAAAATATACCCTAAATTACTACAAAAGGCCTTTGTCACCGACCATTGGTTGGATAAGGAGCCTCCATCATACACGTTAGAAGAAATAACAAACATGTGGCACTTGGCAACAAGGAAGTCTATAGCATTAGACAGTGTTCAGCACCTAATGAAAAGAGGTGTGAAGCAATCAAAAACCGATCCGAACAAACATTATTTCTCCCGGGATCCTAGGTTAAAGTACGTGATCCTCATTCCTGAAGATAGGAAATTCACAGAAGCCCTCGTCCGACGAATAAAGTGCCCAATGCTGTTCTTGAAAGCGACAGACTCCCCGTTTTCTGCCGGAAAATTTTCTATTGCTATGCGTGAAATGATAGAGAAACAGAACGATAAATACGAATTTCATTTCGTGCCCGGCAAACATCACGTTCATTTAAATAATCCTGAAGTAGTGGCTCCTCTAATTAATAATTTCTTACAAAAACATAAATTGGACGCTTGAATATATGTTAACAATAAAACAAAATGACCCGTCTGGTTCTTCGATGAATGGACGTAATTAATGAGGTTGCCGAAATCAGCTATGTAATGTAACTGAAATAATTAGACATTCAGTAAAAGAAAGATAGACAAGCGATGATATGGCGGCGTGTAATCTACTTTACTACATTAAGTACCTACTTATTATTTATTTATGTTTAGATGATGCATGGTATTGATGAAGTGCAATACATTATCTGATAGTTAGATAATTGGAAGTTTCATTTCCGCTTCCTAATAAGCTATATTATCTACGATAGCGTACCATTTGGTTTTGTATTTTCTATTAAAATAAATAAATTTTATAAAACAATTGCTAAGTGTTTGTTTCTTTTTTACTTCTGCAATGGTAATACTATACCTAACCCGAGTGCTCCAGGGAGAAGTCACCGTTCCTTACTCTCCGGCTTGCCTTAACCCCTTATCTGCCAGTATATGAGACATAATAGAAAACACATTGTGTCTCGCGTATATGTACGTCCTCGGCATACCAGAGGTTAATTGGCTGGCTGGAGTGAACAATGACGAGGGACAGGCCTCCCACCTCTGGCTTGCCTTCATTGACCGTCCAGAGTGGAGTCGCGAGAGCAGTGATCCTGCTCGGAGGGTAAGAAACTATTCGTAAGTCGCGAGTGGGCCAGGCATGTAGGAGACTTCGGCTGGAGCAGACGATCTGAGTAAAAAGCGGTGGTAGTTTCTTAACCCTTCAGCCACTCACATTGTCGTTGTCCCTCTGTGGCTATATCTAGCAACCATTCCCGGGGCCCGGTCGGTGAGTTGACGAGTCTCTACCTGCCAATATAATTTTTACGTGTAATAATTATATTGTTTCGGCAGGTGCCATAGTCATCCAAAGTTCCCAATTTATTGGTCCACAGCAACCCATCCATAGTCCTACCTTTTTTTCCATTATCCACAATAGTTCTACACTAACCGGGGACTGTCCTTGGGTGCATGCAGTTCCATAGTGCATACAGGGATAGTCGCCGGTTTGTGTGTCCATTACATATAGATTAAAGTTGTCTAAAGGGCCTCTGCGCAGTTGGCTTCGGCCCCTCGTACGCCTCTGACCGGGACCCTGTGGTCTCGTGAATGGTAAAGACATACATAATTATAATAATTAGTAATATATAGCTGCACATTGGACATAATTCCATACTGAGAATTTTTGGAAACTGAAAAGCCTAAAATAATATCAATAATCGCTACTAAGATTGGAGAGATGATATTTCTTAATCTAGAGGACATAATCAATCTATCGAAAAATCTCCGTAAGGACAGTGCAGTAGCGTAACTACTTTCATTGGGGCCATGGTCAAGAGTCAAGAGCATATAGAAAGGTCCAACCATACTTTATAATACTAATTAGTTCATGCTCCAATTAACCCTACAGCTGAGATTAATCCTACCATTAAAGTCCCTTGGGGAATAGATACTAATAAAATACATAAATAACTGACACGTGACGCTAACGTACGCGGAAGAAATGACGACCTTCGTGTAGATAACTGTTTGTACCAGATAACTTAGAAACTATTCTCATATTATTCAATTACAAAAATCATATAAAACAATAGTTCCTACTCAGATATCATCGTCCGTAACATAACATAAACTAGGGCTGTAACGTTTACTAGGAGTTCAAAGTCCAATATTGTGTGACGGTATTCAATCGTACAAAACACAGAGCGCGGCCTTGGCAATGTTATTCTTGCGCGGTGGCCGGTGCGTCACTCGTGTTCATGAAACCTGTGTACTGTGTAACAACTGTAGTGAAATATCTTTAGATATTGTGCAAAAATTATATAACTTAAATAGTTAAAGTAAGCTAGATAATACTAACGCATATTCAAATATACGTTGAGTGAAATATCTACCCACACTAACTCGTGACAGTTCGATAAAACTTTTAACCTCTCTGCAATTTTGACATGTAGCGGAATTGAAAACAAGACAAGTGAATCGTTAAATTATTTTTTCAAAGTGATATCTGTTTTGACTTTATCTTCCTGTGACCGGAATCATGGCTAGGCGCTTGTTATGCCGCATGATTTTGAACTCTAATACGACGTCGATAAAATCGTCGTTGCCTGTACTTGGTAAAAAATTGCATAGTCAGGTGAGTTACTTGTAAATTAGTGCGCTTACAGTTCCTAATAATGTAATTATTAAAAAAGGTCCGCAATTACGAAAATGGACATTTTATTTCAATCAGACTATAAAATTGTAATTCCAATTTAGGAATTAGACCTTGATTAGAAATATTGTAGGTATCTAACCTAGGGGTTTATTTACTTAAATACCACTTACCTATTTATTTTTTATGTTGAAAAACCGTTAACCGTTAGCTGATGAGATTTTATTGGACCTACGTATAACACTGGTCACTGGATCATGGCCATTTTTAATTATCTAACATTTTTACACACTTGAAATAAATACTACAGATATTACAACTCTTTAATTATGACTTCAGAAAATGGTTTTTATTAATTTAGTTTATTGATAATAAAATATGAGTAGGTATCTACCATAATATATGTAATAAAAAACTATGAAGTTGGCAAAAAACCTAGCCTTTTATCGTGATAATTATTTTTTTATTATAAGTACTAACCATATTTAATTGAACAGGTACCAACTAAAGAAATCCAGATTCCTGTTAAGTTTGGCCACATTGCGGGCAAGCTATGGGGCAACAGTAGTGAGCGACCTATACTGGCATTACACGGATGGCAAGACAATGCGGGCACCTGGGACCCTCTGATCCCCATGATCATCAAAGACAGACCGATATTAGCATTAGACTTTCCTGGACACGGATTTTCGTCGTGGATTCCTCCTGGTAATTATAAATTTATTTACTACATCGAGCTCCGAGCATGGAGTACTTCAATACATAGTATAAAACAAAGTCGCTTTTGCTGTATGTCCGTATGTATGCTTAGATCTTTAAAACTACGCAACGGATTTTGATGCGGTTTTTTTTAATAGATAGTGATTCTTAAGGAAGGTTTGTATGTATATACATATTGCACCCGTGCGAAGCCGGGGCGGGTCGCTAGTAAAGTATAAATTTGAACTTTGGAGGCTTTAATGTCAGCGACGTTCAACTATAGTATTAGAAAATAAATAGGGGTGTACTATACCATAAGTACCAAATTATGGTTTAATTGAAATAAATGCTTAGATTTTGACCTGACTTTGACCTTGCCATATCGAATATCAGTTGATCGATTAAATATAGATCGAAAGCCTAAATACTAGAATGTTCATAATATCGAACAATCAATACATCGTTAAGCGTAAATAACATTTTCGCTTTCTTTTTTCTCAGATATGCAGTACTACCAGTGGGAATTACCGAGAATTATTTTATATCTGAAAGAATACTTCAAAATGGAGAAAGTATCAATATTGTCTCATTCTATGGGAGCAATAGCATCCATGCGTTTTGCGTCTGTGTTCCCAGATGACGTCGATTTTTACATTGCTGTGGACAGCCTTATTTATGACGACTACGATTTAGATGCAGTAGTAGGTAAAATTCCTACAACATTGAAAAAAGCTTTAATCGCACAGACGCGACTAAATGACGAGCCACCGGCATACAGTTTAGAGGAAATGACCAAAATATGGCATTTGGGTACGAGGAAGTCTGTGGCTTTGGAAAGTGTTCAGCATTTACTGAAAAGGGGAATAAAACCATCAAAAGCCGATCCCAATAAGTATTATTTCTCCCGTGACTCAAGACTAAAGTACACATTGTTCAATCCAGAGGACAAAAAATTCGTTGAAGCCCTAGTGAGGAGACTGAAATGTCCGACATTGTATATCAAAGCTATAGACTCTCCCTATTCTTCTGACGCATATTCTATAGAAATGCGCGAAATATTAGAACAAAACAATGAAAATTATGAATTCCATTTTGTACCTGGTACACATCACGTTCACTTAAATAATCCCGAATTAGTAGCACCTCTTATTAAAAATTTCATTCAAAATCATAATCTAAGTCTTTAAGTGAACAAATCGAACAATTCATTTATGAAACATTAAAGACAAGGTTCAGTATTGTGTTTAAAAACTTACTCAAATACGTTTTTGTTCTGTAAGATTGTTTTTATTGTGTGAATATTGCACAAATTAATTTTATATGCATTTTTTCAAGCATTATTATAAGTTTTCATGAAACATTTTGATATTCATGTTGCTGAGGAATGTTGTATCCGTACAATCTACTTACGAATGATAAATATTACTAAATACAATACACTAGTCACATTTGTTGTTACATTTAAAATAAATACTATATAGATATGTTGTATATAAATAAGTTTAATATTCTTTACACAGGTAAACATAAAAAAGTCATAATTATTCATAAAAGCTACAGATATAATTTATACTTCAAGTAGAAATTAATTTGAAGCTTCACTTGTACATGAAATGTCTAAACTGGAATTACTAACACTGTCACAGACATGTGCACCTTTTCTTAGAGGCAGAACTTTCAGTAGTGCATCTTGCCACGGCACTCCTTCGCATACTCGTAGGACAATCTCAAACACTAAAAGAACAAAGATATTATTTTATAATATGTGTCGTCGTTGTTTAGGTTTATAAGACAAATTAGTATTTACAGTCTACAAAATAAGTTGTTATTTACCATGATCAATTGTTAGCACTTTTCTAGTTTTCATATTGATGTATTTATCCAGTGGTAGTTGTCCATGCCTAATACCTTGCTCCATTGCTATTTTATGGCAGAGACCCTGAAAAACATTATTTTATGTTTAGTCAATAAGTACAACCACATAAGTGAATCCACTATAAGATAAAACAAGATGTGATGTATTATTTTGTTGTGTGTGGGTCCCATATTGCAGTAGACAAGAGGTGTAATACATTTTCTGTGTGAGTTACTGTTAGGAAGTCAAGGCACCTCATCACACAGGTACTAGGTTAGGCATAGGTCTACGTTTACTACTAAATGGAGTCAAATAATAAGCATCACAGTTATGCAATGCCATACAAATTAGTGTCAAAGAAAATAGTTACCAGACTAACAATAACAATTTATGAGTTAATGAAATTAACTTTAAACTAATTTATAATAATGACTTTTTGTACAGATATTTATGTATATAGCTGGTCACTGAAAAATGTATGATGTTACTAATTTAATTCTTTTTTCAAAAAGAAAAAGGAGTGTGTAAACTTAGTATTGATTTTGTATCTTTCAACCTCATAATACCGTATTGCAGAGTTTTTACTTATCTTCATAACAAAGGGCTATATGTTCTGCTTAAAACTTTGAATGTTAGATTTAAGTTAATAGTACTTAGTTTAGATTAAGATGTAACCTTATGTTTATTGTGATCTACAAGGCCTCCAATAATGTAAGCTGTGTTCTCTTCAAATTCTTCAATTACATTGTCAGATTCACTTGTTAAATACACTATTTTATCCTTTGGAAACACCTCAAGGTATGACTCCTCATGAAAGTCTATCTGAAAAAAATAATAACAAGATTATTTGTTAAGAAAAACAAATGATATTATTTATTTTGAACATTAAGTACAAGATAATAGTATGCTTTTACGATGTTATAATTTATTAATAAAGGGTTATTACAACAAAATGCTTTTTATTTTATGAGAAAGTTATTAATAAGTAGCCCAATAAGATATAGGATCCGATTATTTACTATATTTTTTGACAAAATTAAGGTTCTTTTTAAAATAATAATAGGTTCGGTTTTGGTTTATGAATAAATTACCGAAAAAATATGATCAGACTCTTGAATTAACAACTTAACAACCAACTTACATCCCAGTGTTCATATCCATTATGTCTAGACATGTCACTCCTAGACCGTTCTCCAAAACTTGTTATGTAGAACTGAATTGGTGTTTCTGATCTTCTATTTATTGAGTAACAGCGTAGTATTTGTTTTATTACTTTAAATCTATCCTTTTCCATCATTAAATGATCGAAACCGAGATCTATTACGATTGAAATATTTTTTTTCGGTCTCTCTAACTTCATTTTCTTAAGTGCCTTCCTATTGGGTCCTAGAACAATATTGGCTTCCCGTGCCTCCTTCCGCCTTTCTTTGGCTCTTGCTTTCTCTTTAGCACGTTTCTCTGCTTTGCGATTTTCCCATTTTACTTTTTTTAACCATTTGCGCATTTGATTCTTTGTGAAAGGTCTTGGAATTTCATTCCCTTCGTCATCTTTCAGACCCGAGTCTATCCTTATATCAAACAATGTAAATTGGGGAAAATGATTGTCTTCTTGCTCATTATGGACAGGTTCATCTTCTTGTATATTATTTCTTTCACTGTCCTCCATTTCAACTCTAGTTTAAGATTAATATTCTTAATATATTTTAATAACTGTCGAAAAGAAAACAACAACCAATCTTCCACGTGTTTACACTTTTGCTTTCTATTTCATGGCCACTATACTACGTATCAGTTTATTACCTTTAGTAGTATTCACACTTTATAACAAAATATTTTATCCTATTTCGGTAAATAAATATTTTAGCTAATATTTTATATTTTTTGAGGTTATGCGATTGTATTCAATCATTTTGAAATTAATGTCAAATTGTCAATGTCAATTGTCAATTCTGTCATGAATCAACTCATGATACAACAAAACGTTCAAACCCTACGTTTTATTACCACATAAAAAATAGAACATTTCATGTACTAATTTTATATAAAGCGACGATAAATTATTAACTTTAAATAATCTTTGAAAAATCTTTGAGAAGAACTCGATATTGGTATTTTTTTAAGGGAGGAAAATCATCGAATGACTGCTACCGGGTGGAGGCTCCTGGGTGAGGCGGTTCGATATTGATATAGACCTAAATAATAATAATCAGCACTGCGTAAAAACGATGCAACACTAATATCTAAACTCTTCGAGATTTGAAATTCTCACACATCACACTATGGCTATTTTAGACAAATTAATAATTATAATATTTTGATGAGTGATAACCATTTAACCTGCGCAGATAAGGAAAAGATAATTACCAATATTTAACTATGCTCTCCTTTCCAGTTATCTTAAATTCATTCGGTGAAGATAATGTCTACAGTAAGTACATAATATCTTGTTTTGAGGTTTACGTTCAATTTATTTAAAACATTTAATAATTGTTCATGTTCTTATTTTCCTGCCATCGCTATAGGATAGGTATCAATTATGGGGAGGATGTTTCGAAGAAGAACCTTCTTCAGTACTGCGGAGATTAAACGACTCTTTAACCGTGGATACTCGATTATTTCGAGAGGATATACAAGGTAGTCGTGGTTGGGCTGCCGAACTACATCGCAGTGGGCATCTTTCCGCAGAAGACAATAAATCCATACAGGATGGCCTTAACATGGTAAATACAACTAGGTACTAATTATTAGGTATATGATTCGAAGACAGTGATTTCAAAATTTACTGATACCTAAGTGGGTACCCAGACTAGTAAGTCTGGGTAGGCAGTAGCCTAAATAAACAGTTTTAACTGATCACCATAGGTACTGCACCACTTCACAAATAATAACGTCGACTGCACTTTACTACTTGTCTATCTACTAGAATGGTTGCTTACCTAACTTATCTACCTACCTCCAATTAGAATAATTTGAATTTGCTGTTTGGCAGGTCGAGAAAGACATTGAGAAAGAAATAACGCAACATGGACGCTTGAATGACCCTGAAGAAGACATTCATTCAGTAGTCGAACGACGGCTGTTCAAGTATGCTGGGGACGCAGCACTGCGCCTCCACACAGCTCGCAGTCGAAATGACCAATCTGCCACCGACACGCGACTGTGGATGCTCAGAAACTTACCTAAATTGCACACTGCTCTCAAAGAATTAATCACGGTAGGTATACCGTATCAAGGAGAATAGAAAAATATCATATGCTAAGTATAAATATTACAACAAATAAATTCATCAATCGGTACCAATATGCCTGACCCGGGAATCGAAGTGCCGCGGTGCGATTTCCTTGTCGTTTTTTCAGTTCACATTAGCTAACGACGCTAACGTTATGGGTGGTAGATAACATTATTTATATAAGTAAATAAGTACCTACACTAGTAGGTCTTTTTTTTAAGGGGGGAAAATCATCGAATTGCTGCTCCCGCCTGGGTGAGGCGGGAGGGAGTGTCAGACTCTTACTGACTAAAAACCACCCCGTTCCTTCTCCTGCACGTCGAGCCGGAGCCCCGGTTACCCGTTAGGTTCTCCGCGACTCCGAATCGGCATCGGCCCTATTGGGCCCCATCTGTGGTGGTCTGATGGCTCTTTGAGGCGCGCGCGGAACGCGACGCGCCGTACGCTCGGGCCTGTTTCTGGTCGGACGGGGAGCCACCCATGCTCGCCGTCCGCAGGCCCGCGCTTAAGGTGGCCGGAGATCGTACACTAGTAGGTCTAGGTTAACCTACCTACCCTACCTAACCTAACCTACTTAACCTAAAATTTTCAAATAATTTCATTGATTCGTTTTAGGTTCTGGTTAATAGAGCAAGCATTGAAATTGGAATAATAACACCAGGATACACGCATCTCCAGCGTGCTCAACCTGTACGTTGGAGTCACTTTCTGCTAAGGTATCTTACAAATATACATAACACTGTTAAAAATTGCCTCATTTATTACATAGGTAACGTAAATAATTTAGTTTCTTATTTTTTTTGAAATTTCAGTCACGCTTGGTGCCTTCGCGACGATGTGACAAGACTTGAAGAACAAAAAAAACGCCTATCTCGTTGCCCGCTAGGCAGTGGAGCTATTGCTGGCTGCGCTCTATCTATTGATAGAAATAGACTAGCCGTTAGTTTAGGATTCGAGGATCTTACACCAAACTCCATGTTTGCTGTCAGTTCAAGAGACCATTTAGGTAATTATAGTCTTTGTTAAAATTGGAACGTAGTTTTAATTACAGCCTGCTTATGCGATATTAAATAAATTACAGTGGAGTTCTTTAACTGGGCGTCGCTGTGTGGTTTACATCTCAGTCGATTAGCAGAAGATCTTATTATCTACAGTTCTCAAGAGTTTGGCATTATCAGGTTTTCTGATCAATTTTCGACTGGATCAAGCCTAATGCCCCAGAAACGCAATCCTGATGGATTGGAACTCATCCGAGGCGCCGCAGGTCTCTTACTGGGGGATGCAGTTGGATTCAGTTGCTTAGTAAAAGGACTTCCGAGCACCTACAATAAAGACTTACAGTCTGATAAAGAGCTTTTGTTCAGGTCTTATGACCGTCTGCTGGATTGCTTAAAAGTTGCTGCAGGAACAATTTCAACTATGGATGTAAGTAAGATTTGTTATGCTCCTCAAACTGACGGCTTAAATGAAATAAGTTAATAAGTTTAATTTCTTTTTTGAGGTGAACAGTGAGAAAGCTTTAAGTGCTCTGGACCCTGGTATGCTGGCGACTGACCTGGCCCATGCTTTGGTTCGTCGTGGCGTCCCCTTTCGACGAGCTCACCACTTGGTTGGGTCAGCTCTAAAACGAGCATCTATCCTCAGCGTCGACCTCCGAAACTTACCGTACAAAGAATATCACACCATTTGGTAAGTTGATAAGTTCCCTTGAAATAATAGGCAATACAAGCCTTGATCCTATTTCTAACCCTCTGCAACTGACGTGGTTAAATTGTTACAATTCAACTGAGGTGTATGTATAGTATACCAGACACCATTTCAACTGCAAATATTTTTGTAGAATTAAAGTATAGCGAGCACTATACAGTAAGGTACTCGCAGCAGTGATGCTCGTATTTGAAAAATGACGGTATAACACGTGATTTTGTATTTCGCAATGTCTGTGGGACTACACGTCAGCCGCAGACGGTTAAAACAGAAGTGACATAATACAGGATAGCACCATAAATAAAACACCTTTCTCAGTATATTTACGAGAGTAACCCGAGAAAATCACCGTCGTGTTTGATATTTCCAACTACGAAGGGTTACTGACCTACGGATGGGTTTAATTAAAATAAGTTATTACCTAGTTTTTAACGAGTACCTACCTACTCATCAACACTTATTGGTTGAAACAGAAATTGAACCCACGATATGTTACATCATACCCAAGTCTAACTACTACTACTATGTGTATCATATTGGGTGCCTAATGATAATGATAATCATCCCAAGTTGTTCAATGTCCTCTTCACAACCACTGCCTACAAAAAACACTCAACAGAAATAAATGTTTCCTTTTACAGCCCAGAGTTCGGGACGGAGGAAGAACTTGCCAGCATTTTCTCATGGGAGACAAGTGTGGAACAATACACCAGTTTAGGTGGAACTGCACTGTCTGCTGTTAATCATCAAATCGAAACATTACGGTCATGGCTCCAAGTACCAACAGACTTCAGATGCAGTAAATAAACGACAAATTCGTCGTGCTCTTTACAAATAAAGAGTCATTAAATCGTTACATATCATGTTACAGTAACATATTCTGTTTGTGTAAGAAAGAATGAAAGTAAAAGTCTATTATTATTTTTGATACCTATAAATTCTGTAATACCCTTTCCTGCAATAGCTACAAACTACGTAGACCTAACGAAAGCTTTGGCTTATGTGTCAAATAACAGTTTAACTGCTAGAATGCACCGATATGAGACACAATAGAAAATACATTGTGTTGAGACACAATCCACGTGAGCGTGGATCCACGTCTTAGACACACATATCCCAAGTTTACCTACCTTCCTACCTGAAGGAAAGTAATTATTTAGGCAGAATTAGTTAGTAGGTAGGCAAGGACTGCGTTGGAAAATGTTAGAACACTTATCTGCCATAAGCTTCGATTAAAAATTCTTAATCAGAATTAGATCACGTTTCCGCTTTACCTTCACTACTATAGCATACCTACCTATTCTTTATTACCTCTGTAAATAGGTCTAAGAAATGAAATCCAATTAGGGCAAGACGATTGGTCACGTAAACAATGAACCATCAAACCTTAATCAAATATGCATTACATTGAAGCAAACAAAACCTACCTAGATAAATAAGAATCAGTTATATTATGTAGTATTTTCTTTGCTCATACAGTGTCGCAGGACAAACAGGAACGAGTAGATTACCCTTAGTGGATTTTGGTTGCTATTTTAAATGGATAATCCTGTACTTACTGTAAATACGATAAATAAATTAAAAAAAAAGATCTTCAACTGCCGCATTCTAGATAATCGTTAACAGGTATTGTTACCAGTTAAGTAAAAATAAAATATGACGTAAGTTAAGTTGACAAGCACAGGCACTGCGAAGGGTTGCGGAGTGCGGTTCAGCTGTCTCTCGCACCGCTCCGTGGGCCGTCGCTCCGCTTCCGCCTGAATGCGCGCCCCGCGACCCTGCCAGGAAAAACAACTTCGCCCCCCGGCCGGCCGCCCACAATGCTTGCCCATTTAACCGCCGCTACGCATTCTACTATTGCCATTCCGAAAAGCAGACGGTCTCCATCAAATACTAATACAATTATTACTAAACCTAATACCATTGGATACTGTGCACCTAACTACGTTTGCTGAATTTAGCTGTACGATTAAGTGTTGTGTTATTAAACTTAACAAGGGTTAATTTAATTGGAAGGTAAGTTCAACTGTGAATTAAAGTTTTGACAATTCAAGATATCGTGTTAGTGGGTAGGTAGGCAGGTACGGCCACTTTGTTTAACGATAAAGAATTCATCACTTTTCGATAAAGTTTTGAAAGCTTATGCAAAGTGCGTGTGATATTTTATGGGTCAGCAGGTGCTGTACCTAATCAACATTGTTTTAATAAAGCAATAGTGTGGGTGATGAATTGTTTAATTGCTGTGAATTAATTTCTAAGCGGGGGCTTTGAAACCGCGCGCACCCACATGCGGTTTATGACATGAGTTTTATGAAGGGACTTAAACAAGTGAATATAATAATACATTATACTAAACCAGCTTAGGTACCGATAATGATAACGTAAACCTACGTTATCTATTTAAGCTTAAGGTCCTGGGGTTAAATATTTATTTACATTCATTCATGATCGATATTTCCTAGTGCTTATTTAAAGAGCGTAGTTCAGCTAAATTCCACACAAACGTCTGAATGTGGTTAAAGCAGCAGGTAAACTCCACTTGAATACCTAGGTACTCAAAATGTTCGTCATATTAATTATTTCTATAATAAGTCTAGTGGGTCAAATTATTCCGGATTATTAAACACATGAATAAATTCACTTTTTAGCAGTGACACACAATGGTGAACCTAATTCGTCGAGTGGTTTTTCTCTTCATGACACTAGTTATCACGAATGAAGTCTTTGCCATTGACTACGCTATGGAACCTGAACTTGAGTCATACGGAGAGGAAGAATTAGCTGAAATGATACCTTCTATGGAAAATGATAAGGTATAAAGTGACACTTATTTTTTGATTCTCTCTTTTTTGCGGTTATTACTTTAAAGTGTATTGTAATTAATCACAATACAAAACTTATTTACCTACTATTAGATTAATCACAAGACAGTGTATTGTGATTAATCACAATACAAAACTAAGGTACCTATCGCATAAGCTACATAACATCTACCCATCTTGCTAAGACCTTTCGCTATAAGTATTCGTATAATTTAATTATGCATATTTCATGTACGGTACCTAAGTAAATAGGTACCGTAAAATGGGGTGAATACGGATCGAGAGGTGAAACAAAAGAGGGATGAACAGATACTGGGAAATTCTTCATAGTATCGATTCACCTCTCTTCTGTCTCTATTCACCCCTCGATCCCTATTCACCCCATTTTACCGTATTGTAAAATCCTAATTATATGATAAATGCGAAAGTTTGTTTGTTACTTTACTCCACGCAAAAACGGTTGAAAGGATCGGTATGAAACTTGGAACAAGGGTAGATTGTGGTCTGGAATAACACATAGACTAATTTTTAACCCATGGGAATGGGAGCGGAGCTGCCAGCAGAAGCTAGTATTATATAAAGGCGTTATATGTATAGTCTTGGCCTCATGATATTCCGTAAAAAGCAAGTAGGTAGGTGCCTCATTGGCCGAGTGGTCGCAAGTGCGTTTGCCGGGCAAGGGGTCTCGGGTTCGATTCCCGGATCGGGCCTAGTATTACTGGGTTTTTCAAAAAAATCACAGTAGTAGCACGGAGTCTGAAAATGTGACCGGTATATGGCAATAGGCTCACCCCCTATTACATGGGATTCATAACATCAATAATGAAATGTGGGTATTACATTGTACAGTGGCATTAAGTGCCGTAACGTGCACCTCTGCGTACCCCTTCGGGAATGTAAATAATGTTATTATGTAAATAGTATTAGAGTCCTACTTATACAATGTGAATATCCGGTATAAGAGATCCGTTTCATATTAAACTGTCAAACACCAAGCGGTCACCGGTGACCGCAACCTATTGTTCTATAATTGTGTCTATAATGACGGTACTTGACGAGTTAAAATAATATGATTAATTGAGAAATTAGATTAGGCTAGGTAGTATGTTACCTACCTACCAATCTACTTATCATAATTATTTCAAATGTCAGCGCCATTGTACCCTTTTGATCTTTTCACCGCCAAACATTATTATCAATTTATCGACGGATATGGGATCAGTTTGGGATCAGCGGTAAACGTATTAATTTCTAATCATGATTATAGAATTTTTCACACATTCTGTATCTTTGCTTGGGCTTACAAATAATTCCATAATGTTTGATATGTGACACAAGGGCTTTTGGGTAGGTTGGGATTAAATGAATGATATTGATATCAATATAATACTGAATCAAACTTCGGCACTCTTGCTACATGAGATAATTAAGTAATTAGTTGTACATTAATTTATCAATGAGGTGTACCTGCCTGTGCTGGCCTATGCCTACATGTTTCCAATATATTGCATGCTTTTCTTTTTACTTTAACTTTTATTTCGTGTCTATAAACACCTAAATGCTTCACACGACATAACAATAAAACTAGAAATTTTACAAGAAAGGTTTTTTAACACAATTATCGGGAATCGAATCTGCTACGTACGATAAAAACCCCTCTAAGTACATTTATCATACGCATTCCAAGCTTTCAAAAAGCAAAAAGAAGACTATGAATTTTAACATTCACGTGACTTGAAAACATCCCTCATTTCATTATCATACTTATATTTACGACTTATGATTTACATGAATTAAGGGCAAGCCTATACAAATACCATACCATATTGGGTTGGGTTCAATATTGGATTTCATACTATTGCTGAGAAATTAGCACAGAGTAGGTACTCTCGGTTGTCGTGCTTGCGTAAAAAGTGTATGTATACCTAATATTTGTAATCTGTTTTCAGTACATCCGGCACATCCATTCCATGATTAACGCATACAGAGATGACATCTTGGGTCGTCAAATGGTAATTGAAACAAATGCACTTGTTGACACGAAGTACAAAACATGGAAACGCAATGGAGACTTGATAAATTCTCTTCTGGCACTACCCAAAGGCATGAATGACGCAGGCCGTTAGGCATATACTCGACTTAGCTGTATTAAATTACTGTGATTAATACAAAATATTAATATTTATGATTATCACATAAGGTGTTAATTCAAATGAACAAGTCACGCGAGGCCAAGTCTCAAAGGCTAATAAAACAATCTATTACTAATATTAAAATAAAATAAAAATACAGTTCCTGTTTTCAAAACACATATTTATTGTACCATATTGTAATTCTACACTAACTTCACCTTCATAGAGGTGTAACTAATTAAAGAGGTATTTACAGTTACTTGTAACTACACAATACATGTTGTTGAATATCTTAGTTGTGTGCATTCAACAAAAGGCAGAACGCTGCGTACTCAATCCATTACATATTTTGAGCGTTAGACTCTCAAACATATTTATTGCATATGATTACAATAATGAAAAAATATTATTCCTTGCTATTTTACATTCACAATGGCAAAGTCACAATGTTTTTAAAGTCTAGATAATATTAATAATGTATTCCATAAGTACATTAAGTAACAATATAATATTTACATGAGCTTTTTATTTATATTGAAGTTCTCATAAATGTTGTAACGCATGATTTTATTGCAATATACAGAATACTTATAAAAATGGCAGTTTCTTTTGAAATTCTGATTTGCACAACACATATTATATAATATTAAAAAAATATTTTATTCATCACAAGTGTAAAGAATATTTTATTCCCTACATTCCGGACTACAATTGTGCCTCAGAAGGCTCATTGAATCATCTCATCAGATCCGATGAAATGGTACTTTAACAGTTACTCTAAACAAATATGAAGTACCTATGTTGGAGTAGTCTAGCTGACCTCGACTATTACGTAACTAGATAACTCGTTACATAGTATAAATTAGTAACTAAAGATTAACTATCGTTTCGAGCGCTGCCCGAGTCGTCGATGCTAGAACTTGAGCGAGAAGCCCGGCGCCACGTTAAGCGAGCGCTGGTGTAGTTGGAAGCCGAGCGCCTCGTCCGTGTCGGCGCGCGCGAACTGAGCGTAGGCCGCGCCTCCCGCAGGCGGCCGCGGGCTGTGCGTGCTGCGCCGGTTGCCCTCGGATTTGGCCGGCCACGTCGGGAACATCGCCGGCTCGATCGCCACTGGTTGCTCCTGCACAGTACGAAAAACTATTTAGACACACTCATATACTTTACTACCATAAACTTATACAATGAGCGTGCATAATTATTTAATAATACATATATTATATAAAATGAAAAGGTTCAAGAAATCTACCTTAAAATAAGCGTGATCTAAAGCGGCGTCTGCTGTCACCCTCCTGACAGGATTGTATGTCAAAAATCCTTGTAGTAAAGATAGGCCAGTTTCAGAGAGTAGATCAGCTCCTATTCTTTGGCGTAACCCACCAGTAGGATGTTCTGCAAAGGTCATTCTTTGTACTGCTGGTAATTCACTGTAACCGGGCCAAATCAACTCAGAAGGTGTACCTAAATCCTAGAAATAAAAGAGCAACGATTAGGATGTTTTATAAAAAAACCATAGATTATTTAACTTAAGTTTAAAAATAAACAAACCTTAAATATTCTATTTAACTGATCCACCTCTGATTTTCCTGGAAATAGCGGATTCATGCTTATGAACTCGGCGAATATACAGCCTACACTCCACATATCGATGGGTGTAGAGTATTCCTTACAGCACAGTAGAAGCTCAGGCGCGCGGTACCAAAGTGTTACCACGATCGGGGTATATTGCCGAAGGGGAGATCCATACTCTCGGGCTAACCCAAAGTCTCCCACCTAAAAAGAAGAAAAGATTATTGAATGCAATTTTTGGGGCATGATTAAATTAAGTTGCTACTAAGAAATATATGAAACTGACCTTTAAAACACCTTTGTGTGATAATAACAAATTGCTGGTCTTGAGATCCCTGTGTAATATCCAATTGTCATGCAGATGATGCACAGCCCTCAACAACTGCGTCATAAGACATTTCACCTCACCTGGAAATAAACGGCCATCATTAAGAGGGAATGTCCATAATTTTATTACATATAAACTTAGTAATATTGCCGTAAAGTCGTAATCATACCGGGTAGAAAAACTTGTTTCTTTCCGCGCATCGTCTCCATGAGACTTCTTAAGTCGTGCTCGACGTAATCCATAACAATGAAAATCTTATCCATGTTGGAGCCCACCACTATCTCTCGCACTGTGACAATGTTCGGATGCTGGCCCTGCAACAACAGAGCAGAATGTGCGACTCATTAATACGAAGACGTAGCAGACCTTTTCACGGTATTCACTTATAATCGTCGAAGTCCATACTGTGCTAATGCAGTCGTACAAAACCGTATTATCTGAAAATGAATGCTTCACACTACTATAATCATTATTTTACATTATGTAAAAATATATATATCGTAATAACAAATAGAGATATTTTCTCACTAGAAAAGTTGCGAAAGTTTGAGTAGTTTAAAAAATCTATAAATATACATAAAATAATACTTGTTAAATGTGCTTCATACATTTTAGTAATGATATGCAGAGCTACGGTAACTTTTCTTCGTTTATGGTCTTTACATGTATCATACTAAAACACGTTCTTTAACAATAACATATAATATAAATATTATATATCAATTATGTAACAAATATAAATATACACTTATTTCATATCATAGTTTAGTATACAATATGTGTATATATATTATGATATCAAAACATACCCAAACTTTCACAAAACTTATTTTACGGAGAAACTACAAAAAAGCTCTTAAAAATCTTTATCGTAAAGTGCTTCGAGGACTACTTAATTACCAAAATAGAAAAATAAAGCAACAGATACAACAGTATATTATACTGTGAAGAAAACATTTTCAGAAATCTGTACAATCTTGATATGTGTCAAGCAAGTATTTAATTTTAAAATCCAATAACATCTGTCTATCAACGAATCTAGTTCCGCCAGAATGTTATACATTGATGGTACTTTTAGAAGATTACCCATAGACAAAAAATACCTACAGCGAGCAAGAAATGCCTCAATTTAATAATAGTAGTTTAATAACTCTTCGTCATTGACCCAGTGCTCATTAAGTAAATATACAAAATTATTTTTAAAATTTATAAAATTGACACATATCAAGATTTTCCATATCTATAATAATTTATTGATTTATCTACACTTTAATTAAAACAAAGGCGGAAAATAAACAAATATTGACAATAACGTTGATATTGTCCATTCCACTGGTGACAGCTGTAGTAGTTGTAGACCTATCTTATTTAATCAAACTGTAGATAACAATATCTGTAATCCCGTGGAGCAATAACTAAAATCACGCAGGGTATCTACATGTCAGGATAAATATGGCTCGCAGTGTGGTGGCGGCATTTATTGAAGTGTCGCCACCACTTTGAAATACGTGATTTTAATTTATCTATGTATGACGACTTTCCTTAAAGATACCATACAAATACTATAATGTACCATACAACCTTATTATAATTTAATTTTGATAAAGCTCGTCTGCGTATTTATTTGTGGCTGGAAACTTTTTCTTGGTGGCAAAGAAATTCGTCTATAGTTTTCCAGCTATTTTCAAAGATGCTTAGACATCGTAAACAAGTTTTGGCTCTTGTTTAGGAAACGTATTACATACACACACACGTTTACGTTTGAAGAACAATACTATTATTTCAGCTTAGCGGATTTTCTAGAGGACAATATTTTTTCAACAAGCAATAATATGCCGTCAATCAACGTTAACAAATTGCAACATTAAATTTCGAATGGCAATGGCTTGCATTTTGTCCCATAGTAAATCGGACGCTTCATAAGAAAATTATATTTTACCAAACATCGTTTACAGACTTCCATTTTGGCAGCTATACCAACAGTTGAAAAAAGATAAACTTATATTACTTTGTTAGAAAGCTAAAGTTATAAGGAAATACATTAACAATGCTGTTTGAATAAAATTTCTTGACACACAGTATCTTACAACACATAACAGTTTGAAATAAAAAGAAAATTATCAAATAATTTGATACTGAGAGATTACTCACTATGGTATATTACATACATTATGCACTCAATTATTTCCATTACATACCAAATAAGTGACTTAAAACTAAAATTAAAAGAAACAAGGTACATACACACTTTCTAATCTACATTCACACAATGCATGCAACAGCAACTTCCCAGATAACCAGTTATGTGATAGTCTACGTAGATTTGTAAAACAAATTTACATACATCTATTAGTTAGCATAGTTGCCATAATGATATCTGATATAAAAATCGCCAGTGAACTTAAGATCTAATAAATACATTAATGACAAGAGATTTACACAAAATACTGAGAAATGTAGTATTTTATGCATCATTCTGAGTATGTGATTTAATGAATTTTGCAATGCTAACCAAATTTATCCCAACAATATAAATATTATTGATAAGTGATATATGATTACGATGAATTTAATACACAAGGAATCAAATTCACCATGTATGGAAATAGAATTCACAAAACATTTAATAACACGGTTTGAATTCATTATATTGTCTGCCAAGTTTGAAGATTGTAAAAAACCAATCCCGCGTAATTTTAAATTCGTGTAATGTCAATAGAATTTGATGGCAAAAAATTACGAACATCGAAAGTTATTAAAGTGTATATTTCTATACACAAAGAAACCAGGTGACTTGTAACAAAGATAAACGTAAACATGGAGTATTGAGTACGAGTCAAAGAAATAAATTAATATTACTTCCAAAGTTGTACAGTACAGATTTCAAGTATCTTAAAGATCGGTAAATTCTTTTACGTTCTACTGAATACCACGCATCGCTTTGTACTGGTCCAACGCTACGCAATCGCCTCCGTGTCACCAGAGTCGTAAGCTTTCATGGCCAATAGAGGCAGCATTCATCCTACGGTCCGACTGTTGCTGGTAAAAAATCCAAATCACGTTCGACTTTGCTAACCATTTTTACACAGTTCTTCATAAAGATGCTTGGTTAAACACATTCCAGTTCGATTATGACCAATTAAAAAGGAACATTACCGAACATAAAAACATTATAAACTTAAAAATATTGGCCATTATTACACTTATCGTAACAATCAATTGTTCAACTTTAAGTAAAAATGCTGCGAATCATCCACCGTCTCCCTATACTTAGAATTATTTTCTCCGATCAATTTAATTCAATCATCTAATATGTATCAAAAATTTAAATCCGAACTTATTTTAAACTTCAGACTACTGCGTACGCCTAGTCCCGATTATACAGAAACCGAACGTGAAAAGAGCACTAAGTATTAAGTGCAGGTGCTTCTGTGGAGCGATTAGTAAGGAAAGGTTGAGGTTGAGACCAATAGCGCGTGGCAGGTCACCGATGCGATGGACCATTCAGATCAAAACTGCACTCGCTACACCAATGCACAAAAGGTGCTGCAGTGCGCGAATGGTGACGTGCAAAGCTTTCCACCACACCTGACTTGACTGCCACGACTACTGTCAAGAATGTAAAGACGAAGAAAAAGTTAAGAGCTGAGATACCTACAATTAATAAGCTAAGTGACATAAAATTAATGTGGTTTATTTAAAGTAAAGATTTTAACTAGGACCAGAACAGATTATAAATTACTCGACTTAGTTCTAGAAAATGTAATTTAGTTTTTAAGGCTTGTTTTTTCAGCTAATGATAATTTTTTAGAGAAACAGAACTCTGTTTCAACTCCTATTACAGATATACTGAGCATCGCTTTTCATATGACGACCGAAAATAATAACCGATATTGCCCCAAAATCTCTGCAGCAATCTAAATTTTACCAGAAACTATAGAACCTATGGCAAAAATCTATCTTAAACTGTCAAACACCAAGCGGTCACCGGCGACCGCAACCTATTGTTCTATAATTGTGTCTGCAAAACCGGTACTCGACGAGTTAATCTAGAGTTTGGACCGAGATGGGTTATATTGATTTCTCGGCAGAAAACGCTGCTGTCAGTGTTAAGTAACGCGACAATTTCGCAGCATTACATAAATGTGTGTTAATTGAAGTGGAATTTTGTTCACACACGATATAGGCCACATCGATTATTTTGATAGGCCAGAGCAGGAACGTCCAAGAAACTAATTAAATATTAGCTTCCGAAAGTTTAATTACTATCGGAAGAAATTATTATTCGTGCTGTAACCGATGACCAGTAAGTCCCTGTTAGGTTATCGATTACCTAATAGGGACCAAACATACAGAAAGTTTCTAGTGTAAACCCCCGCAATACCAGCGAAGTTACACGTGCGTTACCGGCCTTTTGGATTAGAGGATTCTGGTGACCTGAATCACACGGCGAAACACAATGCAAGTATCGTTTCACGCCACTTTTCTGTGTGACCGTGGTATCACTTCGGCTGAGCCAGCTCCTTTGTGCCAAGACACGCTCTTTCACACTTAATTTACAAATAAGTGTAGCTATGCTTGTTGATTGTGTGGGCACACAGTTTAAACTACATAATAATAATAATACGTGAGGCAAGCTATACCTCTTCTCGACAAAATAATCACGATACCTATAGTGGATTCTATATTCAAAGAATACGCGTTGTGTGTGATGTATGGCAAATGTATTCCTACAGCAAAATATTATCAACTCTAATGACGAAACTAATCACATTATAAACGCGTTAGTCAATGTTGATATAATATATTGCCATCATTACAGCGAGTGGTGGTTAATCAGTGAATAATTACGTAAGCAGAAGATAAGTTAGAAAATAAATTTAAAGTATCTAAGTAACGCATATCGCGATATTTATGATGTTGAAGTTGAATAGAAATGTCACAAAAGGCCTGTTTTCGTTTCACCAATGCGCAATAAGTTTCTATTATTTTAACCGACACACATGAACGATTAGTCAAATTATTCGCCAGTAAGACTAATTGAAATTTAACCAGAGGTGGTTCCCCACCTGTTTCGATAGCGCCTGGGTCGTAACTAGTCAGGAGTAGAATATCTACAGAGTAGTATGTGCACTTATTTACACTCTAAAAATTTTAATTGGTCCTGTAATAAAATCTGTGTCAATTATTCGTTTCCTGTTAGATTCTCTAATGGCAACGATTTTAAAATACATTAAGCCGAATACAAACATAATACATAGGACAATCAGAATGGTCTCCAGTACCTACTAAAGTGTATGCAAAGCAAAATCGGTCAGAGTAGCGTGTTCATTAATTTGTCAATTGAATGCGCAAATGCGTAAACAACTGACTGCGGGAATCATCTCTAGCTACCCATAAACAGTTACATTGAATTCTAATCGTTAAAGCGGTATAATATCTCTTAGGAACTTAACTCGCGTTTTTTTTAATAAAATAAAAAAATAAACACTTAGGGCAGAATTGTAGATTATTCAGAAACGGAATGATACTAGCACTAATTCATATAAGATCTTAAAATGTCTATGTGCTATGACTGAAAAAAGTCTTCTTCGACCAGAAAACAAAGCAATCAAGCTAATTACTTGTTACTATAAGTAATATAATAGTAATTTAATAAAAATTAAATTCCAAAAAAACGTTAGTGACAAAGTTCCAATTGAATATCAACCTCATTACAGATTATGTACTAGGTAGTTTACGGGTTGCTAGAGAGCTGAATATTATCGACCAAGCAACACTAACAAATATCAGATCAGGTTAAGATTGTTTCAACACAATATTTGCTGTCTAGTACTTTTCATAGTTGTTGGTAAAACATTGGATACCCTCATAATATGTATGTCTTGTATACATTTGATTTAAATCGGGTAATTTGTTAGACAACATATACAAAACATACATTTACATAGATTGCTTGCATATTGCCAAATCAGAATATTATAGAGACAGTAACTACTTATACCATACTAACAGTTAAAGAAATTACATCAAAGTGACCACACAAGTTCGCCCTTCAGACTTCAGAATTAATTTTAGGCTAGTGGCCTAAAATTAATTTGATTTGAGAAGCTTAGTGTAAAATACTTTCATCACATTATCATACCAATGTTAAGTCAAAACTTCAAAGTACTTAAAGTATTCCCTAATCTTTACCTGCTGATGTCTTGTTGATTTTACTTCAAATATTATCTTAAATATAACCTTCGATGTTCGTATTTTAAGCATTGGATGTAAAAGAATTACTTTTTGTTGGCCATCAAATTCGAAGATGTAGAACGTAACAAGAAGAAAGCATTGAAGGGTTGTCCCCCTGGAATAAATCCCTACACTTTTAAGCCCGCCCGTATCGGAGTTGTTAACCCTTGCAATCGGGTCACACCTCTAGCACAACCCTCTTGCAGGTAAGAGGTGCCGGGCCTGTAGGAATAAAATACAAGGCATTAATAAAATGAATTCAACACGGGAGCCATCGAGTGCTTCACAGCTCGTGGCTCAAACACTAGCACTTAACTATAGTAAGTAGAATAATTTTAAAACAAAGTACCTTCAAGAAAAGAGCAGTGATGCATTGTGATGGCTCAAGTGAGCTTACAGATATAACATTAGGATTGTGATCTTACCTTAAGCAAAGTGTTAATCTCTCGCAGAGAGGTGATGGGGAATCCTTCCTTCTCTTTTTCCATTTTAAGTCGTTTTAGAGCAACTATTTCATCAGTAGTTTTGTCACGTGCTCTATAAACTACTCCATATGCACCTTCTTCAATTCTATTGAGGCATTGAAATTCCTCAACTGACCGACACCCCTATAAAACATTAAATATTTTTTAATATTTTTTTACACATCCATGTTAAACACTTAAATATATTTAATACTTATTATTACAACGTGATTATACTCTTATGTTAAAAAGTTGTGATCGATATTGTCACCTGAAAGTAAGTTTTTCTCTTGAAACAAAATGTATTTAGTAGCATTGACATCAAGGCCACAACCAATGTGTGAGTCTGAAATCGATTGTTAAACCCCACATAACATTGTATGTTTTCAGTCATAGTGTACAGTACAACCATAACCAAGTGTTGATAAATTGCGAATGCGTACAGTGAGCTATAGCATAGATGAATATGAACTAAAGGAAATGGACAAAAATATGCATTCTTCTACAAGATGCCAATCATTCATAAGTTATTAAATTAGTAAAAGTGCTGAACAAACCCTTGGCATGGTTTGTAAGATATTATTTAACAAATACGAAACATCAATTACCTGTAAGGCTGGGTAGTATGGAGGTAGAGCATTAATAGCTTCTTCCCTCTGTCTTGTTTCTTCATCATCTTCAATCAGTTTTTCTTCTTCTGTAATTTTACCATTTTCTCCAGGAGGAGGAGGTGAAAAGGAATGTGATCTACTTCTACTCTTAGACCGAGACAAAGATCTGAAAGGAAAAGTTCGTTTTTGAATAAACATTACAATTTTAAATTGGTAAAAAATAAATAGATATGTAGGAGTAAGTACCTGTGTGACCCGTGTGATGACGGCAAAGACTCTGGTTTAGACTTGGAGAGATTGGGACTAGGTGACTTAGATTTGGAAGGAGGTCTAGTTTTGTCATTGATCCTTTCTTTCTCTTTCTCGTCTTTTTCAGTCTTTTCCTCATTTCTGTGCTCTTCTTCCTCTTCTTCTTCTGACTTCGACTCTGCTGCTGAATCTGATTCTGTGCTTGAACTATCCTCTTCTGTTTCACTATTTGTGTGTTCACCTAAAAGAAACAAAAAAATGTAGAACACTTAAGTTTTAAAACATTAATTCAATGAATCGTAATTTAAAAATGCGATTTATTTTTTACCATCTTCAGGCTCAGAATGTAGTGAGTCAGTTTTCATTTCTACGTCACTAGAGTCAGATACGGTGACAACAGAGTCACCATAGTTAGGTGAGTCTGTTTTAGTTTTCTTTGTCGCCGTCTCACTGGGAGATACAGAGCGTTTTTTGCCACGGCGGCGGTGCTCAAGTCTTCGAGCCTCCAACTCAGTCCGGGATTCATGTTTCCGCTTTTCTCTTTCTTTATCTGAAACAAATTGGTGTCCTTCAATAAGGATTGATAAACTTGAAATATTTCTATATTTAGTATTCACATTACAATTTCATTACAATGCCTCTATGAATTTATCTTATCTGAAGTCTGACTGAATGATAAGTACAGTAATTATTTAATACTAACCTGCAAATAAAACTTTATTCTTCCTATGTTCTTGGTGTTTGTCCAATGATGAGTGACGAGATGATTTCCCATCCTTTTCATAATAGTCTGAACTCTTCTTGCCTCCATCTTGACCTTGTAACTCTTTGGTTATCCTTTTGTTAAGTAATCTAGTTCTAAGGTCTTCCAGTTCTTTATCTCCAGATGTTCTATCTCTGTTTTCCTTTTCATTGTTATGATTAGTATGGCCTTCTTCAGCTAATGACCTTAATCTAGATTCTATTCTCTCATTATCAGAGCGCTTTCTCTCTGCTTCAGCATATTTATATTGTCTTTCACGACCAAGATACACATCTCTTTGCATTTCTTTTTCTTTGTTATACATTTCTTTCTCTTTGTATAGCATTTCCTTCTCTCTGTAGGCCTCCCTAGACCTAGCTGGTTCTCTGAAAGATGGATCTCTATACATTTCTCTCTCTCGGTAATGTTCTCTTTCTCTGTATTGATCTTTATCTCTATAAACTTCTTTTTCCCTCATCTCTCTCTCACGGTACATATCTTTTTCTCTTATGTCTTTATTATCCCTGTACATATTATTATCTTTGCCATCTCTGTACATTTCCTTTTCTCTGTAAGTTTCTTTATCTCGGTAGGATTCCTTGTCCCTAAATGTTTCCTTGCCCTCTCTATACATTTCTTTTTCCCTGTAGTATTGCTTTTCTCTATAATATTCTTTGGCCATATCTTCACGTTCCGGATTCTTATTAATGTCTCGTTTTGTTTTGTCAGACTTATCACGTTCCCTGTTGAAAAAGGTTATGATTGATCTATAACATTCCCAATGTCAGTAGGATGTCAGACCTTAAAGCACATAATATTAAAATTTATAAATATGTTATGACTCTCTATTTAGGAATAGTGATATAGGATGGACCAGAACAGTATATATGCTAAATAAATTCACATTTAAAAATTCAAAAACATTACAAGATAATCTGCTTTAAATTCCGCATTAACTGGTCTGGAATATACAAAATACAATGTAAACTCAATGTAACAGAGTGCTATTAGTTAAAGCAGATTACTCAGTGGATTGAAGTGTGTACATAAAATGCACAGGCATTGGAGTAGTTGTTAAGTGTAGGAAAGAAAAGTCAATGATATTTAATTATTATATACTTTTAGTGAAGATAGTAATATTTAGTTTATAATTCCATATAAAGATTAAGATACCATAAATATTTATGATACATTATGATATATATATTCATTACTGGTGAATAGACATTTATGTAAACACAAAATAAGAACCAAAGTGGTGAGATTTTAACACAACTGAGTGGAGTTTACATTGTATTTTGTATAAAGGTAAAAATGTTAAACATTTATAAACTTACCTGTACATATGCTTTTTTTCTTTTCTCATATTGTCTTTGTATCTATCTTTGACAGTCCGTTTATGTCCTCTCTTATCTCTATGTGCTGTTCGAATCACGGCCTGAGGCGGCTTGATTATCAAAGAGTCAGCATTGTCTCGATCTTCATCAGATAAACTATAAACATTCAACAAAAAATATGATTTATAAAACCCTATGCAAGCACATCACACAATACCTTCAGAAATGTTAATTATATCATTAAGCTATTACCAAATCCACCATGTCACACAATAATTACTCTAATAATACTCCTTAATCAATTATCTTTAGCTAATAACATTCTACTAACCATTAAATTTCTGCAACAATACACATTCAATAGGAAAATAGAGACATTTTCCTATTTAATGTGTACATTAGTCCATTATAGTGGATATAAATGATCAAGTAGGGTTTAGTCAACAAAGCACACATTAATAACGAACAGATAAAAGCCTATGAATCATACACAAGAAAGAAAATAATTATGGTTAAATATTGTAATTGTAATACATCATAAATTAAGGTTAGGTAAAATATAAATTGTATGCACTAAAAAAATGTTACCTGCTGAATTATAGTCAATTTATTAAAGATTTTCCTAAAACTAACTCCGATGGGAAAAACACATTATTCCAATAAACAGGTGGTGGTGTCATAGAGACCAAGTGAGTTGAAAAGTACAGCGAATAGCAAATAAGTATTATTACTTAAAATTTTTACATGACTATACAAATTATATCATTTTTACACATGCGAATCCTCCAAACATAAAGATTATGAGATGGTTACGTACCTAAAATCCATTTCATCTTGGACAGGACTGCGAGCTAGCTCTCCATCCTCGCTTTGATCGTCTTCGTAATTACTCATGTTTTTTCTTTTCTTTACTACCTTGACCGTGTGGTGTAACGACCAAGAAAAACACTCAAAGGTAAACACAACACACAATGTCCAATAATTAAATATGTTTTCGAATAAATGACGGCGAAATTGCCAAATATAAATTATCACTCAACCAAGCCACAATTTCTTTAAACTCATGCTGAAAACGCCATTTTGTTTAGAGAAGTACTTTTTTAAGTTTCGAGAGTAGACAACTTTGTCTATGACTAACTTAAAAAGAAGGCTTTTAGCTGCCGTATTTTGCAAAAGACACCCATACACTATACTGCGTGGAGACTTGCAAATGGTCAAATTAAAGAATTTGTATCTCCTACTGTTGATTAAATTCTGTTTTTTTAGTTTTTATTTGTTCTCTTGACATTGCTATTGCTGCTGGTATTAATGTTAAATCTTCTGCAGCTCTGGATTAGGCATCAGCCTTATTGGACCTACTTAATGCGATGCGAACCGATCGCTAACGACTAGCCCAACCAAGGAGTATAATTTCAGACTGTATGAGTACCGTTCTTTTTTTTCAACATAACCTTGATCAAATCTATTTAATTCTGATTCAGACGAATATTTTCTACTCAAAGCTCAAAACAAGAAAGAAGGTTTCTTATGTTCTATTCTACAGAATCATAGATTTATAAATATAACATAGATGTCTGGCTATTGTCTACGGGTAGAATTTAGGATCCATCTTGACGGTAAATTCATAAACATACTGTTGTTTCTTTTTTACTTATGCCTCTTTGCTTATGCAGAAAGAGACAACACATTATTGTCATTCTGGCCATAATTTTTTGACGTCATCAGAAAAACCTAGTTGTGCCGAATTGGCCATCTTAGTCCCTGTTATCAGTGCATGTCAGTGGTACATCAGCTGTCAAAGCATTGGTCAACAATATTTTGTTACGAAAATTTGTAGAATTCCTGTTGTTTTTGTGCGTGGTAAACAAAGAAATTATTGGTTAGTGAGAAGAACTATGCCCGGGTGCAGTGTTATTGGATGTAGCACTAAAAATATTACTAAACCGGCAGGTGTAACATTACATCGGTAAGTACTGTTATTTTTCATTAAAATATCTCTGTTTTTCAAACTATTCAAGTGTGGTTGCTGCAAATTGACTAAATACAATACTTTTCTAACTAATGCAGTGCTTATTTTCATTAATTTTAGTTGAAATACGTCTAAAACAATTTTCATTAAAAAATAGTGATGTACATGATTGTTCCCGTATCGATAATTTTATCGTACATAATAAATGCGTCAAAAGTAGAACAAAGAACTATACTAAATTCTGAATGATAAAGTGCATTAATTTGACATAATGACAAAATACAAAAAACATTAAGTACTCGTCAAAAATTTCATTTTATCGACAAAATTCCACCATCGTCAATACCTACGTAATGTAATAAATATTTAATACAATAGAGAATAATTTTTGTACAATATGAGATAAGGAATAATATTGTGGGAAATGCATTTTTGTCAAAATTGATTTTTTTATCAAATGCCGCTCGACGGATTCAAATGAAACAAACAAATGAAATATAACTTTAGGGTATTCTTAGAGTATTTATTAGAATGTGTCGAACTCTGCCGATAATTTTAATAATATTATAAATTTTCTTTTTAGTTTGTGCTTGAACCACGCAGAAGTTCTTGGCTGGAAATAATTAATGTGGGAAATATAGATACTAGAAGGAAACATATCTTTGTTTGTTAACTTTATTTTGAAGATTAATGTTTTAACCGAACAATAAATTAATAGTAAATCTACGTGATGGGGCCCTATCGCTACAAGCTCTATTGGTAAATCATAATGTAAACGATTCATTATGTGTTTTGTTATATTAGTTTTGGAAGCATTTTTTGAAGAGGTGCAAACTTAACATTTTATTTAACATTTATATTAAGTTCATAACTAACCGGGTTCTTGTACCTATATGTTTCTGTTTTCCTCCGCTATCTATCACTATCATTGTAATGTACAAACATTTTCGTTCAGAGCTTAGTACAGTACCTATAGAATCTATAGAAAAATCTATGTTCAATTGGATCAAGTAAGTTAAATTATACTATTTATGTTGCAGCCTCTAGCCAGATATGTGCATGAAAATGAACTTGGAACCAGTTCTGGAGTCTTCTCGAAAGATGGTTTTGCAGATTACATTACAGGGAAACACTACGAAAAATACGAAGATATTGTATATTATAAATCTTGATTTTATGAATACTTTGATACAGTTTTATTTTTCAACCCTCAAAAATTACTTAACCTTAAGTATATAAATATTGACCAGTTGATGGAAAATCCTTTTCATGAATTTCGATACATAAGTATCGTGAAAGTTATGATGTGAATGTATAGGCACGATCGACTGGAGTGACAGTGCACGCAGCAACTACTAAATATATTTCGCTAATATGTTGGTAATGTTTAGCAGCTACATAAAAATTAAATCCAGATGAATCATAAAATAATGATATTTTATTGATAAGTCAATTAAAACCAATTCTAAAATATCGATATTTCTACAGTTTTAAAAGTTACATCCCTAGTTCTATCCGCCATTACGGGTGACCAAGTGAAGTTTATGTAGGCACGATTTTTTCCTAGTTGTTTCTTATCCATACTCTTATCATATCAGTGTACAGAATACATTTATTCCAAGATTTGATGTCATTTTGATGTACGTGTTTAAAGTTTTATAATCTATTTTTTGCTCTCTTACATTCATTCATTCATTACATCATTCACATTCATATCGTAAATCGTTCTATTGTTCAATGAAAAAAATAAAATTAAAAATGCAATTTGTCAAACGAGTACGAGTACAACAACGAAAGTCAAAATAAATAATGTACTTTATTTACACAATATCATTTTATTTAAGTTGTAATAGTTGTTTTATGTCGTCGTTATAAATACTGAATTAATAGATTACCTTAGTATCTTATTGTGTATTAGGAAACTTGATCATGGTAAGTTTCTTTCATAGTCATCTCATCCTAATATATAAATTCGATTAAGTATCGTTAAAATATGCATTTATTAGAGTTTAGGCGGAAGTAAAAACATAGAAAATACATAATTAATGAAATCTATTGTTGAATAGATTTATAAGATTTCATTCATATAAAGGCACTGCACACTGGTAGGTACATAAATAAATACCTAAATAAAACAACAGATATGCTTGAAAATCATAAATATTTAATCTCACATTAAAAAAACCTTGAAATGAAACAACAATATTACTGAAAGGTAGAGTAAATGTAACAGAATTCCAGGAGATAAACATTTTTATTATGAAATGAAATCATTAGGTACAAATCAGCATTACATACCTACATACACCTTACTAGCACTTACAAGTGAGAGATTTCTTTGTTATTGAGATGATATATTTGTTGAATAATGAAGATAATGCCTTACAACTAGGCTATGAAAACCGTGTCATTGATTGAAGCAATGTGAAACCAAAAAAATAGAGATTAATTTACACCTACATTGCCAAAGTGACCTTCACCTCTAAGTCTTTATTGCCTCTAACAGTTTTATAACGGATCCTAGTGTGCTACAAAGTATAAAAGTACTAGTCTTAATTCTTAAATTGTAATGTAAAGTTAAAAATGTATCAACATTTTATAAGTTGTCAAATGTTGAAGCATGTTTAAATGCAAATGAGGTTTTTTAAAAATTATATCATTGCTGTTTAGTAACTCTCATATCAATCAATATTTAATAAAAAAAACTGATATCAGTATATGTTTTGTTTCAGAATAGCAAGATATTAAACACAATAGCTAATGCCATCGATAATAGAGAAGAGTTGAAAAAAAGAATAGAAAATGGCAAAATAATTCATCAAGAATTATTAAATTGCATACAAAATTGCCACAATCGGTTTGGAGGGAAGTCAGAGTTAGCCACGGAAGATGATATAAGGTGATAAATAATTAATATTTAATTTTTTTACTTGTTATTATTAAATATTATAATAATTATTAGGTTATTCTTTCAGAATAGCTCAACTATGTGAAAAATGGGAGAAATTGCTTAGCCATGGCATTAGAACTAATTTATCAAACTCAGCAATTCAGAATTTGGTTACAGCAGGTTTAAACTTCACTTTTAATATTGTTAATGTTGGTAAGACAATGTTACATGATAAAAAATAAACTCAGATATAGTTTTGCTTGCAGCAACACATGCATTATTTAATTTGTATTATCTTCTTTTAAATATTGTTCTATCTGAATTAAATCTTTCTTTGTTTCAGGTAACTCTCTCTGGAGTTACACTTGCTTACATTTGACGAAACATGAAAAAGAAAGATTTAAAATTCTAACGAATATTAACACACCACTTGGATACTTCAGAGCATTTCTTAGAGCTGCTTTGAATGAAAGGTCTCTTGATAGGTAAAGCTAATTATTTATTTTTATGTAGCAATGTGCACAAGAAACATGTTTTAAACACACGAACATTTATATCATGTATTATATTAATTTCAGATATCTTCAAAGCTGGATAAGTCATGGCCTGCTAATGGAATATTATGAAGAAGGTGCTCTGGTCCGAGGACCTGAAACATCACATCTCTTTCCAAGCATGGCTGCAGGTACAATAGACATATTTTTAGAAATTATTTTATTCAAAAGCTTTTATATTATATAGAATTATGTTAAATAGGAATAGTAATAAACAAAACATAATTTCAGGTTTATCAACAGTATTGTTTGCATTATCAATTGACAGACTAGAGTTGAATGACTCACAACAAGCTAATCAAACTAACAAAGCAGAACATGTGATACCTTTACCAATGCCAGTAAAATCATCAAGTAATTTGAAACGAAAACCACTGAGACAAGTTATATCCTTTGACAAAAATGAACAGAAAAATACTAAAAGTAATAAGAAACAAATATTTGGAGCAACAGAACAAGTTGATAATTCTGCTTGGAACAGTGCACCAGCTACTTGCCTCAATTCACCAGATCCCAAAATAGTTGCCCAGGCAGCCTCAAGCAGCGAACCAACTAGTTCAGAATACAAAACCAGTTTAAGGCATTTTTTTCCTGACAGTGTCAAAGTTATGGACAGTCCTTCACAAATTCTCTCCAAACTTTCTGAATGTGCAAAGGAAATATTTTCATCTTCTAGCAGTATTGATGTAAACAATGTCATCAAAGATGATGTTTCGGAATTAAGTGTAAATAATTTAAAAATATCAGAAAGTGACAGTGAGGAAGTGGCGGGAAGTATTGATGGTAGTACTTCATGTCTAGAACTTTGTTTCACAGAGGACGAAAGTACGCCGGACGATAAGACATTAAATGCGATATTAGAAAGTAAGGAAAGAGAGTATTTAAATTTACAACTAAAATACACTCAAATGGAAGTAGCTAGTAAGGAAAAAATTAAAAAGTTAGAAAATGTAGTATTGGATCTGAGCAAGTGAGTAAAATAAACATGCTATACATTTATACATTTTTGTTTCTTGATGTCTCTATTACCTAATTTTTTAATACAAAATGTATTAATTATTTTTATTATCAGACATACAAATATTGTTTATTATTTATAAATGAAACACATACCTTTACTTAAATATGTAATTTTATCTGTTTTCAGAGAAAATGATCGATTAAAAGAGCAACTGCGGCATTACATGTCAGCTGTTGAAATCGCAAAAGCTTTAAAAACTGAAAACGTCGATAACACAGAAGTTGATCAGTACGAAAAAAAATTGGTTCAGGTACTATGTCATACATAATTATAAATATATACATACATAACATCACGCCTTTTATCCCGAAGGGGTAGGCAGAGGTGCACATTATGTCACTGTACAATGGAACACCCACTTTTCACTATTTATGTTACGAGTCCCATGTAATAGGGGGTGAGCCTATTGCCATATACCGGGCACAATTCCAGACTCCGTGCTACTACTGAGAATTTTTTAAAAATCCAGTAATACTTTGCCCGACCCGGGAATCGAAATTATATCCTTTGACAAAAATAAACAGAATAATAACAAGTACTTGGAGCAACAGATCAAGTTGATAATTCTGCTTGGAACAATGCACCAGCTACTTGCTTCGATTCATTAGATCCATAACTGGGAAACTTATTGGCAGATCCCTTGTCGTATACAGATTATTTTAAATGCGTTACATAGTTCCCTATGTTTTTTTATTATTCAGGTGGCTGAAATGCACGCCGAATTAATGGAGTTCAATACGTATCTACAACAGCGGCTTAAAGAGTACGAGAATATATCGACATTAGAAGTACTGGATTACCCTGAGTCTAATGTGAAGGCACATATACCGACTGCATTCTTAGTTGGAAAGAAAACACATTCATATCATGTTTATCAAGTAAGGAAATGTAATAGTAAGGGCAATTTTCGCAGATTTTGCAGTAAGCTAAAAAAATAAATGCTTGGAAAATACGTGAAATTTTTCGTCAAACTAACAGGAAACAGACTCTAAGTATATTCTCGTTCTCACCACTAATGTGTCGCACCTGCCCATAATAAATATAAATATCTTTATTTCTAGATTTATCTGAAGATTGGACAAGAAGAGTGGAACGTATACCACAGATACGCAAAATTTCATGAACTACACACGCAGCTCAAGAAATGTCATCCTGATATAGCGACGTATAAATTCCCACCAAAGAAAACATTACGGAAACGAGTAAGTTACGAGAATATTAAAAATACTAGCGACCCATAGCTTCTCATAGGTAAATTTTTCTGTAAAAGACCGTTCTCGATCGAGTTTCGGATTTTTTTTTTGCGTTGCACCACACTAGGATTTTCTCATGTATTGTGAGTGCATTTACAAACACGTAAAGATGGTACTGCCAACCCCCCCCCCCGCACGCACACAAATATGTAATATCGGCAGAAGATATCATTAAGATTGATTGTGATGTGAGAGCTAAAAGTTAAAAGACATGATGTTGGGGCTTTCATTACAATATTATCTTTAGCAAATTCAAAAGAAGCCGAATTTATTTATGAAATAGTTGCTGCAGCACAATCCCCCTCGCTTACTCAATAATAAGTAACTTAAGTTAGTCATAGTTATATAATTATAAATACATGTAGTTAGTTAGTTGTAACTTAGATTAGGGTATGACGAGGCTGACATACCTTTGTAAGGGAAAAGCCTCTAAATAAAAAGATATTAAAAAAATATAGTGATTTATATGATTTCAGGACGCTCATTTAGTGGAACAGCGGCGAGTGGCTTTGCAGGCGTATTTGCGACACATACTGCTGGTGTTACCAGAGCTTAAGGAGTGCACCAACCGCGCACAACTCATCACTTTATTACCATTCTTTGGGTTCGTATGGTATACAACAGCTCATTACAGCTGTGTATATTTACTTATATTATGTCTTTGCTAACTAATAAAATAATGTTTTTTTTTTTTCAGAACGTCATCTACCACTAACGAGAATGGGTTTAATAACCCACTAGATCGTCAACAATCCAATGACTCTATTTCGTCGTACAATGCACTATGATATAGTTTGATTAATAAGAACATTCCTAAGTTAATAAGTACAGTATACATACTGCAACCAGTGCGTAGATATTTTTCCAAATATAGAAGATATCAAATTTAATTTATATTTTGTTAGTATGTTGTGTGTTAGGTGAAGATTGACTACCTTAATATTCATAGATTATGGTAGGGCTTTTAATATTACATTACACATGCGTATTAAAGAGATATTTTATAAGACACAGAGATATAAAAGTATGTACATATGTAAAAACGAATTTATAATTTGTTTACCTATTTATTCAAGTGCTTATTGTTGGAAACCTAGAATTATTTCACATAGCTAATTTTATTATATATACCTACTACTGATAGATATGCTATCTCTCCAGTTTAAAACTAAATCAGGTTTGTCTTCAAAATCTAGTGATTTTCACCTACCTACTGATTGAGTATTATGCTTATTTTCCTTGTGAAATGGCAGGCTTGCCTATCTAGAAAATTAAAATTTATAGCATTATGGTGATTTCTATCGAATACTCTATCAATCTATTCCAGGTGACGTTTCTTGTTTATCTATATTTATTCGTAAAATAAAACTGTAGAAGTTAAATTCTGTACATTGAAAATATAAAAAAAAAATAGGGGGTGTTACTAGATAGACACCGGATCCAAGAATGTGAATAAAAAGTTTTAGTGTGTCTGTCTCTATGTTGCAAAAACTACCAGTTCGATTACGATGAAATTTAGTACGGTTATTCTTCAATATCCTGGGCACAACACAGGGTACTTTTTAGACCGAAAAAGTTAAGTATGAAAAAACAAACTTTATTGAGTCAGCTTAAGCCCTAGATACAGTTACTGTACCAAACACAAATATAAATTTGTCGAATGTTAGGTTGTCCACAGTAGACTTTACGCTGTAGGGCCGATGGTTGAAATTAGCTTGACCCGATATTATGAATGTGAGTTTGTGTGTTTGTTACTCAGTCACATCAAAACTGCTAAAGGGACCGGTATAAAATTTGGAACACAGGTAGATTATGGTCTGGGAACGCGGGTGAATCCGCTGGCAGAAGCTAAAACAAAACAGATCTACTAATTACAATATCTAACTTCCTAGGAAAGGTTCCCAACTTAATATTTTTAATCAATATTTTATGTAACTTCTCTCTTTTCAGCATAAATACTTCATATAAACCATGTTATTGCTAATTAAGTGTTAGAGATAAAAAAAATATAAAATACGATTTATAATAGAGAAAATGAAGAACCTAGAAAAAGTATGCATATGTATTTCTAGGTTTCCGAAATGAGCTACAACCTAAAATATCGAATATTTTATACACGTTGTTTAGGATGTAGAGAAGCGTTATAAATAAAAACAGTTACCGACGCAGATCGCTTATGAATTTTATTTTCTATCCTAAATCTACATACATATTTTACTCGAACCGTTGTACAAACCGCGCGTAGAATAGTATTATAATTTATCTCTTCATAGTCCAACAGCCGATGCACACATTGCCGCGCCCTCTCATCCCTCACAAACTCGCCCTCCCCCTCAGTGAGTAGACGTGGTATGTAGCTTGGTTCCCTGTTTAGCCTATCTTTTGTTTTTTATTTACATTGGTGTTTCTAGTGACATCAATCTGCCAAGTATTCATACTGGAGTACCTATACAACATGTAACGTAATTAACGCACACCTCCAAACACTCCAATTAGAATATTATGTTATAATCATATCAGCATCCTTACTGGTCTTGTCATAGGGTTTATTTTTCTTTATTTTGTATTGAATGATGAATTTGTATGAATACAAATAAAACTGCTATTTTAAGTCTTATTGCTTTTGTTACGGACCATTTCGATTTATAATACAGGGTTAATATGACAATAATTTCCGTAGTTTTAACTATTTTTGGGATAAAAAATAACCTATAGGTACTAAAAGTTATATAAATCGATTCAGTTAACGATTCTTACAAACAAACTATTTTCAGGATGTGCGTTATTTAAGTTACATGTTGTTTAGTACGTTACATAGTTAACAAAAATCACTCTTAAAGTAAAAAATACCTTACCTCCAGAGATGCTATGTTGCTGTGGATGAGTTTGGCATTCAACCATCCTTACTAATATTATAAATCGGAAAGTGAGTTTGTTTGTTTGTTCCAATTTCACGCCGTAACTACTAATTTTTTTGCAAACGTAAAGTTAGAAGTCTGGATTAAATAATAGGGTACTTTTTATCCCGGAAAAATTTGATATTCTCGAGGGAAAACGAAATTATTGGTATAGATGGCGCTGTGAGTATAGGTATATGTCACATAGGCTACTTTTTGTGATTTTGTGACGCGAGCGAAGCCGCGGGTAAAAGCTAGTTCTTAATAACACTACTCAACAAATTTTCAACTTTTGATTTTATCGGAGGTCGCATTATGTGATTACTATTTCTTGCCACTAAAGTAATAAAAATATGCAAATATACACACACCATCACATCTCAATGTCCAGATAAACATCCATGTACGAAATCACGAATTTTCCATAATTTTATTGTAATTTTAATTGAAATGGCGTAGTTTTTTTGTAGAAGCTGGCTTTTCTCTTGTACTCAGTAGCAGGGGTCTCTCTAATAAGGCTCCAACAGTAATCTGCGCGCATAGCAGGCTCCCATCTGCCTTGAAATCGCTTTTCAAATGCAACAACATCTTGGTGAAAGCGTTCGCCATGTTCGTCACTGACTGATCCCATATTTTCAGGGAAAAAGTCCAAATGCGAGTGAAGAAAATCCAACTTAAGTAACATATTGCATCCCATTTTATAGTAGCAGTCCAATAAAACTTTTATTTTTTCGCGAAAATCTTCAGATTTCTTGTTACATACCAAATATATATTATAATAAAAAATATAAATAGGAAATTGTTAGTGACATCGACAAAAGCGTTCCATGCTTGTTTTTTAATATTATTGAGAGCAGATATAAAAGATGGATCTTGAATCAGCTTTTTTATGTCTGGACCTATGAAAACACTCTCTTTAATTTTCGCGTCACTAAGCTTGGGAAACTTTTTTTAGTTGTTCCCTTACACCAACCATTGAGATATGTATAATATCTTAAGCAGCACACTTTAGGAACCCATGACTTGTCTTGATTCCTTACGACACAGTTAAAATAAGCTTGATAGCACTGTTTAATTAAGTCAGAAAGTGGTTTTTTTTTCGATTTCGGCGTAAACTCGCCACAAATATAGCAAAATAAATCAGGACTGTTAACTAACACACACTCGCGACATTTTAGAAGTTAGTTAATATACTAACAAATGCACTATGTTCCATTTGCAAAAGTAATAAGTTTCCGGACTACCCGCATTTTAACTATTGTAGGTAGGTAAAAAAATAAAAACCACCCTTGTCACGGCCCATTTCATACTACGTGAACTGGAGCCTACCTATAGCCGTATAACCTTCACACACAGCCTATAAGTGCTATGGCTATAACAAACAATATTTGTATGATTTCTTCCATTCAGAATTAATGGAAAAAAAAAAAAAAAAAAGTCAAAATCATTTATTTCAATTAGACCAGTAAGGCACTTTTGAACGTCAAAACAAAATATTTAAATACTAAATAATAAGAAAAGAAAAATGTGTCAGTCTGTAAGTCAGTCCTCTAGTGAAGCTATTTGCTCGTTCCAAAGTGTAGATTCCTATGGAGAAGAACGAGCAAGAAACTCCATAGGTTACTCTTTTTCAATCATGTTCACAATACAATTTTTGGTTACATTCTTCCGTTGAGTTCAATAATGTGAGAACAATGTAATACCAATATTTGGTCAAGGAGACGGAAAAAGAAAATAACCTTGAGGACAACAAATTTAATACAGTCTGGAGCTGACCAGTCCCACTTGACAGCGCCCGTTCACGAACATGACACGTACACCAGCACCGCCCAACTCGACCATGTTATAGGGAATCGAGCGATCCACTGCCCGTGCCACTGCCAATGAGACTTTTGAGTGAGCATGACAACTCCAGGCTTGGAAAATGATAAATACTTGTTCCGCCCCGGAATCAAATTTGGATTTCCCTACCCATGTATTGTTATCATCAATTGCGATTGATTTCATCATCTAGATAGTTTATGTAATTAACATCACCGTATTTTGTTCCCGTAAAGGATAGTCTTACTTAAAAATGTAAAACGTACTTTTCCCATAAGTCAAAGTCAAAGCATTTATTTCAATTAAACCATAGTTTGGTACTTTTGAAACGTCAACAAATACAAAATAAATAATAGTCTGTCAGTCAGTCCATCAGTGAAATTAGGTGAAGCTAGGTGCTCATTCCAAAACGTAGATTCGAATGGAGAAGAACGAGCAAGAAACTCCATTCGTTACTCTTTTTAAAAAAAGTATGTTCTACAATGTCTCTGATACATATTTCAATACTGTACGCATATGTAAGAACAATGCAAAGACACGCTTGACGCATTATACTAATAACTTATTAAAATAAAAAAAAATAAAAATCTTACATCTAACATGGTACTCACATATGCATACTGACAATCCATAAGCATAAGCATAAGTCCCAAGTAATAAGGGACACAGTTCCATATACATACTACATATTATTCTTTTAATATGTGTAGTGGATTTAGTTTTTTATTGTTAAATAGGGAGTGAATGAAGTAATTATCGAATAAAAAACACTTTAGCAAATAAATTCATGATTTTATTTTCATAATAAATAAAAAAAATCAAGAAAACACTCTTTCTGAGGATTTCCCATATATTAAAATACATGATACAAAAGATGTCAATACAAACTAAATCACTTGGTGCAAAGGCAAGCCTGTCGGTTTGGGGTTGCCCACCTTCGGGCGCGTCCAAGGCGCGTCGACCTCCGGCTAGAGCTATCTATGCAACAGGCGAGTGGAAACCGAGGATAGCCTCTTTAACTATATTTTAACAAAATAACTATAATCTTAAAGATTAACAAAGATACAATGTGCTTTCCTCGTGGAATGCATCTTTGTAGGCATCTCTAATTTTGAATGCAAAATATATGTATTTGATCATGATTTCAAAATAATGTAAGTAGAGGTATATAAAAAGCGCATTTATTACACTTCAAAAGTGAAAAAAAAAACGAGATAATTTAGTTTTATGTAATAAAATAAATAAAATATGATTAAAATCATGTATCTAAATTAAGGGTGAAATAATTTACTACAACTTTACATCTAAACGATATAAATGTATTGCAACACACTAAGGAGCTTTGGAACCATTGAGTAATTCGGAGCCTACAATAAATTTCAGCTGGTAAGTAATCTCGAACAATAAATCTAAACTTGTGATTCATCTTTGGTTTTGTGGACATTGAGTCGGCTATAGTTCCATAACTCCTCTTAGGACGCAGCCAGAGCGCAGGCACTACACTGCTCAAGAGTCTAGATATAGAAACCTACACTGGACTGCGATCCGTCGTGATTAATTCATAAGTACTTATATAAGTTACAGATCTACTGCGAAGCTGATGCATCCTAAAGCAAATAGAGAACTTTATAATCAAACATACATGTTAGATGCTGCTTTTTTTCAAGTAGGTATATTTCTCATGTGAACAGATGTCAGGCGATGATTAGGAGTGAAGTATGCCTTACATTTCATTAAAAATATAATTTCTTAATTGTTACGGACTATATTATAAGAGCCGATATTGTAACTTAGTGACTAAAATTACTACTGAGACAGTTACAAGAAAGACGCAATACAAAAGTAAAATATTTGCTAAAAAAACATCACAGCTCACAAGCTAACGTGAAGGTGACGCGCAGTAAGGAGGGACTAAGCGAAAGGTGCGATGAATGATAACCTACGATTATGCAACAACTATGTGTATTTATTATGTTTCTTAA